TGTAATACGTTGACAGAAAGGAATGAATCCTTGTAGCACTCATATATTGCTGTGAACTACTCCCGTTCAGAAAAAAAGCAGTCCATGCTCTATCTTCAAAGCCTTGGACTATATAGATCAGTGTTTCTCAACCTTCTGAATGCTACAATCCCTTAATGAAGTTCCTAGTGTTGTGTTGACCCCCAAACATCACATTATTTTCGTTGCTACTTCATAACTGTCATTTTGCTCCTGTTATGAATCGTAATGTAAACATCCAATATACAGGACGCATTTTCATTCACTAGACCAAGTTTGGCACAAATACCCGATATGCCCACATTTGAATACTGGTGGGGTTGGGGGGAGGATTGGTTTTGTCATTTGGGAGTTGTAGTTGCTGGGATTTCTAGTTCACCTACAATCAAAGAGCATTCTGAACTCCACCAACAATGGGATTGAACCTAACTTGGCAGACAGAACTCCCACAAACAACAGAAAATACTGGAAGGGTTTGATGGGCATTGACCTTGAGTTTTGGAATTGTAGTTCACCTCCATCCAGAGAGCACTGTGGACTCAAACAATGATGCATCTGGACCAAACTTGGCACGGATACTCAATATGTGAACATTGCTGGAGTTTGGGGAAAATAGACCTTGTTATTTGGGAGTTGTAGTTGCTGGGATTTATAGTTCACCGACAACCAAAAAGCATTATGAACTCCACCAATGATAGAATTGGGCCTAACCTCCCATCCAGAACCTCCATGGCCAACAGAAAATACTGTGTTTTCTGATGGTCTTTGGCAACCCTTCTGACACCCCCTTGCGATCCTTCAAGGAGTCTCGACCCCCAGGTTGAGAAATGCTGGTATAGATCATGAAGAACTATGCATCACTCTTCAAGAGACAAATGTGTCATGCCATGTGATAGTCCTTCTGCAGAGCCTGTGTTCAGGGCAAGATGATAAAGAAGGGAGGTTTCCAGTTGGCAAGGAGGTCAAGCAAGACTGCATGTTATCACTTGTTCTGTATGCCTTGTACACAGAATGGATATGTAATGCTGGATTGGATTCAGAGAAAAGACATGTGACCATCTGAGAAAGTACATGAACAAAATAAAATATGCAGATGACACTATACTATTAGCAGGAAATATAAAAGGCTTGGAATGATTAGTGAAGAAAGTCAAAGAGGGAAATGGAAATGCAGGGTTAAGAAAACAGAATAATGACTATGAATTATTTATATATATATTGCAAGAAAGATTGTGCATACTCAGTCACTAATCACCGGAATGGAGACTGCAATCAAGAAGTCAGGCTGGAAGGGAACTAGGGAAGATAACCAAGTAGTAAGATATATAATTGGTTACTAAGGTTAGGATTGTCCATGCCATCATATTTTCCATTTCTTTATACTGTAATGAAGGTTGGACAGTGAAGAAAGTTGAAATAGCAAAGCAGATAAATAGATGAGTCCAAGAAAAAAATAAAACCTAAACTTCCCCTAGAAGACTAAACTAAAAAGGTCATACTTGAGACATATGATATGATAGGACTCAATAGAAAATGTTGTGCTGATACAGCTGTACCAGGAGCTCCAACTTTATTTGCTTTGTATAAATGTTTGCTTGCAGTCCAAGGTTTCAAGGAGTCTGCAGAAAGGTGGCTTCCTCTGGTTGCAGTTGTTCAGGGCAATTGGGAAGGGAAGGGAGCCATTTTTAGTTAGTCTCAGTAAGGAAAGCTAATGTAGAGGATGTGTACAAGCTTCTCCTGTACAAAAGCTTCAACCCTTAAGACTTTCCAGGGGAGAACAGTCTTAAGAGCATCCAAAGATCTCCAAAGATTTCCAGGGAAACAGCCCTAAAGCTTTGAGGAATTTCGGAGGGTAAACAGTTTGGAAGACCAAAGAACTCCAGCTGGAGAATCTACTGGCCTTACTGGTAGGTCCACTCGGTGCTCGAGATGCAGTTTGACCCGGTAGCAGAGCCCACATCAGTAAGACTTAGATTACAGTCAGCCTGGGAGAAGTTAAAAAGGGGTTTTCCTCCAGAGAAAGTTTAATTAAACAAAGTCAGGTGCCAGTCCATTGAGGACTAGACTGAGAAAGCCTTGAAGTGTTGTTTGAACTATTGAAGATTTGTTGTTTGTTCCATAATAAAGACTTTGTTGCATTATCAAAGACTCTAAAGACCATCACTTCAGAAAAATCCCTGAGAACTTCTCTTCAGGGCCCCCTGGCTTCCCGCTGGGCTCAAGTTGCACATCCAATCTTAAAGGCAATTCTTTACAGGCCCAGCGCAATTCTTTACAGGCCCAGAACAAATGTGGTAACACGTTGATAGGCAGTAGGAAAAGAAGATGATTGCAGTCTCAAAAAAGCCCCATCTTTGAGTTAGTAAGACTTGAGCCAGTTGATAATAGGGTGATTTGGAGGTCATTCATCTGTAGCGTCACCCTAAGCCTGAAACCTGACTGGAAGCCAATTGACAACAAGGTCAATCTTATAATGCAAAATGGCAGGGGACATGGTCTTGAACGTGCAATTAATGCTTGCATATTTTACAATAGCGGTTCCTAGTGAAGGTGAAAAAAATCTGGTTCATAGGTGTGGATCAATATGGCTGCTTGCATTTTATATGCTCTTTGGGGGCCTGGTTATAGGGCTTGTCTTGATGAGCCCCTGCACTTCAAGATTTATCACTACCTTCACCTAAAAGCTATTGACGTTCCTCCATGAATGTTTAATTTGATTGTGCCATGCCTCATTGGGAATCAATGGCCACCACTACATTGTGTAGCTTGGGCAATTAAGAAACTAGGAAATGCCACTTGAATGCATTGCTAGGACTCACAGCTACTGCGGTTCTTGGGATACGGTATATACCAAGGTTGGGGGGGGGGGGAGGTGGCGATAGGAGAGAAAGAAAAGATGAAGCAAAAAACACCAGCATTTTCAGACCACAGACCCAAATGGCTTCTCATTCAAAGTAGCTTAATAGCCAGCCCATCATCTGTGGAAATGTTGGGAGACAGGTATATCAAAAGGGAATAAATTGCAAACTACAATTTCCAAGATTTCTTAGAGGAAGCAGTGACAAGGCTCTAAAACCAGTATGACTTTACAGTGCAGTCAATATTTATTTTTATTTTCTACATGTGGACGGAAGGCATAGTTGGGGTGTTTACTTTTAGGGAGGTGGATTTAGTTAATATTAATTCTTTGCAATGTTGTTTTACTACTGAGTCTATAGTATTATAAAGATAAAGATAATTATAATAAAAACTACAGTGCAATTAAAATCCTATATACATTATTACTTTTGGAGCTTCATAGAATCATAGATTGGAAGAGACCACATGAGCCATCTAGTCCAACCCCTTCTGCCAGGCAGAAAAAGCACAATCAAAGCTCTCCGATAGATGGCCATCCAGCCTGTGTTTCAAAACCTCCAAAGACGGAGCCTCCAGTGAATTCCAAAACAGAGAGTTCCATTGCTGAACATCTCTCAGAATTATGAAGTTTATTCTATTTATTTAATTTTAGTTTGTTAAGTTATAATTCGTATTTATATGTTGGGTTGTATAAATTTTGTTAGTATGGATGTATTGTTGTTGTATTTGGGCATTGAATGTTTGCCTTTTATGTTTGGAATGCATCCCCCAGGGGAGAAAGGCAGAATATAAATTATATTATTATTATTATTATTATTATTATTATTATTATTATTATTATTTGAAACACCACAAGATGAGTCTACAGCAGACACTCTGCTGGCTGTTGAATTGGATCACATGTCGGACACTTCCCAAGTGTCTAGGACTGTGTGATGTATCGGCAAATAATGCATGCAGATCCCAGTAAAGTTGCCTTCTGCATCTAGCAGATGGTAATTTTGTCAATGCTGATTGTGTTTAAGTGCAGGCCAAGGTCTTTAGGCACTGCACCCAGTGTGCCAATCACCACTGGGACCACCTTGACTGGTTTGTGCCAGAGTCTTTGCAGTTCGATCTTTAAATCCTCATATCGTGTCAGCTTTTCCAGTTGTTTCTCTGCAATCCTGCTGTCACCTGGGATTGCGACATCGATGATCCATATTTTGTTTATTAACACGATTGTGAGGTCAGGAGTGTTGCGCTCCAGAACTCTGTCTATCTGAATTCAGAAGTCCTAATGTTCAAGTGGAATCTCCTTTCCTGTAGTTTGAACCCACTGCTGCACTGAGTCCTAGGGCCCCTCCAGACAGTAACTTTATCCCAGGAGATTCCACAGCAAACAGGAAGATGGCCAAATACCATTCCCTGTAAATGAGGAAGCAATTGCTGCAAAAGGCAAAAAACATGAGATTTCCAGGTGCGGGAACATTGTGGTTTTGAGCTGAATATGTGGATTTTCGCATGTCTGTATGTCCCGGCAAATGGAAATCATGGGATTTTTTTTATATCTGGGTTTGTTCCCGGGTTTTAGATGTTTGTTCCTGATTGGTCGGTTCGTAAAAAGAAGGCAACACTTGAGTAGAAAACAAAAACTTTGTTTGTGTGTCAGAAACTTTATGAAACGTGTGGAGGACAAAGAACAAAACTTTTGCAGTGATTCACTGCAGTGATTCTCTGTATATCTGCATATCCACAGAAGTTGCCAGCAGAAGTCCTGCAGCAGCCATGTTGGCAGCCTCTAAATCTCGCAACAAAACATCATGTCTGGACAGCGGAGGCAGAAATCCTGGGAACAACAGTTCTGTATGTGGACCTCTTCTGCAGCCCTGGGATTTTTTGCCCCTGTTTAAAACCCATGATTTAGTGCTGTCTGGAAGTGCCCCATAGTCTCCAGGGCAGCAGAAAACAAGCTTGCTCCCTCCTCCTTATGACATCCTTTCACATATTTATACATGTCTATTATGTCTCCTGAACTCAGCAGAAGGTATTTGTGACTAAACATCATGCATAGGCTTGTACTGCACATTTAATCAAGGAATCTGGTTATCACTTATATATATATAGCCAATACTCTCTTTTTTGGGGGGGGGGGTATATAGTAGCATTTATACAATATTGACAGAATCAAAAATGTTGCCAAACCAGCACTGCTAAAAAAAGAAACCCAAGTTAGCATATGAAGCATAGTGAATCATCAAAGGGCGTCCCTTGAATAAAATATTTTTAAAGCATGTTTAAAAGCACAAAGGCAATATCCGTGATAAGTTGAAAACATGACGTGAAGTGGCAGGTTTAAAGTACAACAGGCAAAAAACCGGTTTTCAAAAGGAACATCTGCAGAATTATCAACCTTCATTGGGCTAGATAGTGTTCTGGTAGAACGCTTCTTCTTCAATTGACCACGGAAGGTCTCCTACAAGAGAATATAGATTTTGTTCAAAATAATGATGCTTTGGTCATGAAGCACTCCACCCTCCTATCCCAGTGTTTACTGTTAATATTAATCTTTTCTTTTCTTTTGTTGACGTTTGTTCCCTTGTCATTTGCTGGACTGCTTGCATATGAATGTGATAAACATGCAATGCACTACTACTGCACAAAACCTAACAATTTCTTTTTTTAAAGGATTAAAAATGTTTTCAAATGTTTTGTGCTTACCCTAAACTGTGACAGTAGGTATGGATGCAGGATACCAGACGAATACAGCAAGTACCCAGAGACTTAAACGACATGAAAATGAAGCACCTAGGAAGGAGAAAGCATCATGAATCAGCCACATTGGCAACTTGCTCATACGTCTGCTCCTGAATTGAGCCAAATGAGAAAGCTATGGCATAGACTCAAAAGATGCCATGACTTTCCCAGCAGCGCAAAGATGTGGCTGATGTGTATAGAATATTTTCTTAGGCTTCCATACTTTTTGCAGTATGCTATTTTCTATTCCAGCAGGGCATTTCTGCTATGGTCTATTGCTCTAATTTGTACTTATAAGGCTGCTCTATTTATTTTAGACCAATTATCTATTGATCAGCCCTGACTCCTTAGATACCCATTCACACAACAGAATTACAGTGTTGATATTCTACTTTAACCATAATCTTTCCATCCCATGGAGTTATGGACTTGTAGTTTGCTGGAGCTTTCTGGCTGAGAATTCTCAATGGCCCTCCCTAAATAGTCTTGGTCTTATAAAGGGATTCCTGAAATAGAGGCAAAATTCACACTGGCTGTAATGCATGACTGACACGTTGTTTAAATTATGAATCTTGGTTTTGTTCGTTTCCATAAATGTGAGAAAATTTCAATCTAAATTCACATCAGTTTATGAATATGGTCAAATTCAATTTTTCAAATTCCATATTGAAATGTATTTTTGTAAGGTATTCATTTTATTGGCAGCCCATCACATCTGCTGGGGTTAGGGGTCCAGGATCCCCGTGAAAGTTGAAAAAAACCATGAATAAAACCACATATTCCTTTTTGAAGCACTTCCCTTATTATAGGAACTGTGGTGGCATAATAGGTTAAACCCTTGTGCTGCTGAACTGCTGACCTGAAGGTTGGCTGAGATCTAATATCCGTAAGTCCATGCAGCATTACTATAGTCCTTTCCAATTTCTGGTCGTCATTATCTTGTCAGTCTGCCAGATTACCCAAAGGCCTGGTCCCATATCCATGTTTTCAGCTTCCTTCTGAAGGAGAGGAGGGATGTTGATGACCTAATTTCCCCGGGGAGTTAATTCCACAGGCGAGGGGCCACCACCGAGAAGGCCCTGTCCCTCGTCCCCACCAGCCTCACTTGTGATAGAGGCGGGGCTGAGAGCAGGGCCTCCACGAAGATCTTAAACTCTGAGATGGGACATAGAAGGATATACGTTCGGACAGGTACACTGATACGTTTGGACAGGTACACTATATATATAGGGATAGGAGAGAGAGAGCACATTTCTGAATTGCATACACATTTTCCAAAATGTGCAATTTTCCCTTAATTTGTGCACAGTTTTGGCGCTATGAGTCACGCTGCAGAATTCTGAAAATTGTGCTCACATTAATTATTGATCTCTTTATCTAATTTATATGCTGCCCTCCTCCCAACATGGGACCCAAGGTGGCTCTGAACAAGGTTAAAGATAGTTAAAAAACTGAATTCAGGTTGACTTCTCCAGTCCGTATTTGTAAATTAACACTAAGAAAAAACAGAGGATGTAATTTGCTTTACATCCAAACATCAGCAGTGTTTCCTGGAGAAGACGGTGCACACCAAAAGGAAGCAATGTAGGCTCAGCTGGGAAAGCATGGAAGAGATAATGAAGTTCCCCTGTCAGCTGGCAGCTGTTTTTGCTCAAGAGAAACCCAGAGGGAGAATTCGCTCCCAGGGAGAGAGCATCCCTGCAGAGTAAACGGGCCACTGAGTACTGTACAAGCAAATGTGAATAGCTTCTGTTTGTACCATCCCGGGGAATAGTTACCTGTGGCAATATAACATGTGTCAGATAGAGAGAATGCTACCCTAAATCCTGTTGTTCTTCTGTCAATACAAAATGTCTCCTTTATTTGCATTCAGAGATCTTTTGGCAGCCCAATAGCTCCTGCAAATAGGACTTGCTGTTCCAAGCTGTACCTTTATTTAATAATTGCTTTTAATTGTGTTTTAAATTTAATTCTGTTTGAGTTCATCTTGTGTTGTGTTTTAACTGTATTCTTCTTTTATCTAATATTAATTGCCACCTGACTTGAGTCCCATGTTTGCGAGAAAGGCAAGATATAAATCCAATACATAAAAATACATAGGGACTTGAACAAAAGGGGGAAAACATCTTAATTTGAACATTTCCGTTCCAGAGTACCTTGTACCCAACATTTTGCCTTTTGCCACTATCACAATGTATCAGTGCTTAACTGATTCAGTTCTTTTATGTGATTTACATGGGCGGCTAAAGATTAATTCTGAGTTGGAAATAAGGCAGCAGCAGTCCAGATGTTGTCTGACTGACAAGTCCAGTATTCATTGACATTGGTTCTGCTGAAGAAGGTTGATGGTGGCTGCAACATCTGGAGGATCCATGTGATCCCAATGCCTGGATTAAACTGGAATATATTTAAGTACCAAAGAGCTTTTTAAAAAGTGCAAAAGGGCTAAAAGAATTTCATTGTAACATGATGCTACATGCAATTGGGTTTCAGGCTCTTTCTGTTGAAAATAACAACCTTCTATAAGCCTCCTATTTGTTATTATGCATGTCATTCAGATTGCTTACTGTATTGCATATGCGTGTATTGGTATGCAGTTTTCCTGAACTCTATGTTGTGGGAAGGGCTGCAAATGATGTGATCAGATCTGGGACTGTTCAGGACTCAGACTCCATTATTTATTTATTTATTTATGTATTTATTTGACTTGTATACCGCTACTCCCAATTTGGCTCGGAGCAGTTTACAGCAGTAGATTAAAACAATACAACCAACTTTAAAATACAATAAAAACGAGAACAGACATAGTCCCGAGTTATTCACCCATCGAAAGCTTGTCGGAAAAGAAAGGTTTTACAGGCTTTCCGAAAAGCAAGTAGTCTCGGATGGTTCGGGTTTCAACTGGCAAGGCATTCCATAAATAAGGGGCCACAATCGAGAAGGCTCTTCTGCCTAGTAGAGGACAGATGATAAGTCCGGATGTTGGGGACTTCAAGCAAATTTTGGTCTTCGGACCGAAGTAATCTCTGGGGTTGGTAGGGGGATAAGCGGGCCCTTAGGTACGCCGGCCCCAGACCATATAAGGCCTTAAAGGTTAGTACCAGCACCTTGAAAGTAATCCAGTACTCAATCGGAAGCCAGTGCAGCTGTTGTAGAATTGGGGTGATATGACACCTCGCCGGCACCCCAGCAAGAAGACGAGCCACCACATTTTGCACCAGCTTCAGAAACTGTATATGCCCCTGATGGTGTAGCAGGTTAAACCACTGAGCTGCTGAATTTGCTGAACGAAAGGTCAGCGGTTCGAATCCAGGGAGTGGGGTGAGCTCCAGCTGTTAGCTCCAGCTTCTGCCAGCCTAACAGTTCAATAGCATGCAAATGTGAGTAGAATAATAAGTACCACTTCAGACAGGAAGGTAACGGTGCTCCATGCAGTCATGTGGGCCACATGTCCTTGGAGGCATCTACAGATAATACCAACTTTTCAGCTTAGAATTGGAGATGAGCACCACCCCCCAGAGTCGGACACGACTAGACTTAATGTCAAAGGATAACCTTTACCTATGCTTTACAGAAGTCTGTCGGAACAGTATGCTTTCAGAAGTCAGTAGAAACAGACTCCTTTAGAGACTATTAGACTCGCAGAACAGAGATGCTTTAGACCAGGGGTCCTCAAACTAAGGCCTGGGGGCTGGATACGGCCCTCCAAGGCCATTTACCCGGCCCTCGCTCAGAGTCAACCTAAGTCTGAAAATACTTGAAAGCACACAACAACAACAACAACAATCCTATTGCATCAGCCAAAAGCAGGCCCACACTTCCCACTGAAATACTAATAAGTTTATATTTGTTAAAAAAAATTTTTTTATTTTAATTATTGTATTTTTTTTTTGCACTACAAATAATATATGTGCAGTGTGCACTGGAATTCATTCTTTTTTTTTTCCTTTTTTTCAAATTATAATCCGGCCCTCCAACATTTTGAGAGACTGTCACCTGGCTCTCTGTTTAAAAAGTTTAGAAGGATGCCTTGTGTTATTTGCACAGATAAACCACTTTAAATCCTATATGTAACTGGACTGGAAGCAAAGTACCTGAATGCCGAATACATGAAGTTTGTGAGTAAACCAACTATGTTATTTTAATGAAGACTACTTTATTTAGTTATTTATCCCTTGAGAGCATGATATAAACCAAGATGTTTTAAGGGAGAGTAGTTTTTTGGGGGGGCACTGAAAGAAACACTTCTGAAACTCTGCTATATATATATTTTGTGCATTGGCATATCTTTGTTCCTAACAGTTCAAAGAGATATCTAGGTATATCAGTTTAACAGCTAAGAAACGTAATTGCCTTGCTTGAATACTAGTGGATATTTACCACTATTTATTTATTTATTTATTTGCGATATTTATAGCCTGCCTTTCTCAGTCATACGGTGACTCAAGGCGGGTTACAGATTGGCACAATTCGATGCCAGGCATTCATAAAAGTGTCATTAAAAACAATCAACATTACAATATAAAACATATATAAAACCCGTTAAAATATATAATCACCGGTGTCATCCTGTTAAAAACGTTATCCAGTAACATTGTCTGACCATTCCATGTTCATCATTCATAGTTCTGTGTTATCTATTCTGCTCCATTCTCAAAAGCTTGCTCAAAGAGCCAGGTCTTTACTTATTTTCGGAAAGTCAGGATGGAGGGGGCCGATCTAATATCCCTGGGGAGGGAGTTCCATAGCCATGGGGCCACCACTGAGAAGGCCCTTTCCTTCATCTCTGCCAATCGCACTTGCGAGGCAGGCGGGATCAAGAGCAGGGTCTCCCCAGATGATCTTAAGCTCCTAGATGGTTCATAGGAGAAGATACCACTAAGGAGAATGTTGACTCAAGCGGGTTTTTCATTCTTCTCAGGGAGATCATACTTCACGACAATTTTACACTGCCCTATCTCCCAGTGTTTTTAAAATTAAATTTTTTTATTTTTGAATTGGCCCTGCCCAGTGCAATTCCTTTGTGTTTTAATGTTTGATTTTATATTGCTGTATTTATATTGTCTATTATATTGGTTTTTACATTTTATGTATTTTATTTTCTGGTTTTGTTATGTTTTTGTGTAATATTGTGTTTATTGTACTGATGGGTGTGGCCTCATGTAAGCTGCCCTGAGTCCTCCGGGGGAGATGGAGCGGGGTATAAATAAAGTTTTTTTTTTTATGATTTCTGACAAGGTCATGCTTTTCCAAAAGATTCATGGTTTTCCAAAAAGGTTTTGAATATCCGTTTTCCAAAAGGTTATAGAGATTCCCATTTTCCAAAACTTTCCACCTCTGTGACTGTCCTTTCCAGTTAAAGTTCAATGAAATATTACACAAGGAGCTTTATAATTTGATAAAACACATGTTTTATTGGTCGAAGACTGCAACCCATTTAAACTTTTGGGGAATCACTTTAACTCACCACTCGGAACGGAGGTATATGTTGGTTTGATTGTACTTTCCCCAAACGGAGACTTGTTGGCGTTTGTTCTGGCTCCGTCCAGTGCCTGCTGAAGACTCTGAAGCTGCAGCTCATTTAGGTGTCGGCGCTGTGATTCTGTCACCATGGCTGCATTTGTGGGGCCAAGACTGGCTAATTGCTCAGGAGACAGCTCCTAGACAAATAAGACAGGGTGCTTTAGTATTCGTTACTATCCAGAGGTAAAGAAAGGAAGAAGCAAGAGATACACATGCTTGCACGTCCGCTTGTTATTCTCCTATAAATGGACTCACTAGTGCTATTTTAAATAAAGCCCGACTGCTTTATTTAATAAAGCCCGACTGCTCATTGGAGGGAAGGATACTAGAGACAAAGTTGAAGTACTTTGGCCACATCATGAGGAGACAGCAAAGCCTAGAGAAGACAATTATGCTGGGGAAAGTGGAAGGTAAAAGGAAGAGGGGCCGACCAAGGGCAAGATGGATGGATGGCATCCTTGAAGTGACTGGACTGACCTTGAAGGAGCTGGGGGTGGTAACAGCCGACAGGGAGCTCTGGCGTGGGCTGGTCCATGAGGTCGCGAAGAGTCGGAGACGACTGAACGAATGAACAACAACAACAAGTGCTATTTTGTACAGGCTTCCCCAACCTTTTATTGCCTCACTTGCTCACAACTAGTTCTTTCAATGCTTGCAAATTGCAGACAAGTTCTATTAACTTGACATGGGGGGCATTGCTATTTCATCAGTTCTTCTTGCCCACAAAACTTGCTTGGGACTTCTAGTGAACACATTTGCAATCCCATGGCTCACCTACAGAAATAATAGACCTGCAACACCGAAAAACTGCTCCTCTACAATGCTGGAAAAGTTCATCCATCTATATCTCCCTTTGTTTATAAAATCCATCTTTATGACATTTTATAAACTATATCAAATGAAATTAACCTTTAAAGTGTTACTAAAAGTCCAGATCTGTAGAACATTATGTCTTGGGACAGGAAATGGGCTAAAGCTGGCTAATGTAGGCAAGCCTGAAGGTGCCCAGGTGAACCAAAACTCCTTCCCATTGACAAATATCTTCCCCATTGATAAATCCTCTGATGTTTGTTGGGAAACTTCCTGGCTTCCATTCATGAGGCTGGGGATATCGGCTGATACAGATCAGTAGACCAGCTGCAGGCAAAACCAGCCCATTATTCCATCAAGTGATCCCAATCACCCTTTGTGTTTTCCAAACTACCCCTTTATGTTTACCTAGGCTGAACAATGAGTCAATCATAGGCACATTTACATTTGACATCAACACATTCCTGGTTTCATGCCCCTCAAAGGGACAGACCTTTAAACAGACTTGGATTTTAAACCACCCAACTGCAACTTTTCCTTTTTCCTGCCATAGGGGAAAATCCTACAGTCAGGAGGCATTCAGGAGGAATCCCCAGACAATAGGAGAATGGATCCTAGCTGTGTTGGCTTTCTAGCCAATCAGGGTATTTCAAATGACTGTCAAAGTGGATAAATGCCTTGTATTTCCCTGTATGCTTTATGCCAGTTCTTTTGAGAGCACAGACTCTGTACTGACATCCTTTCTGGCCGGAAAGAATAAACTTCTGTTCGTTCGCCTTCATATTCGGTTCGTGACTTCAGCTGGCATGCGGAGCATCAGGCATGCCGGAGTACAGATTAGTGTTTTAGCAGTTAGCTGAAATTACTCAACAATCATACATTCAAAAGTATGAATATAATGTGTGTTATTTCATTTTTTCAGCAGGCAAAATGTATTTGCAAGCTGAAATTACCTGGGTCCCACTTTTCAACCTACTCCACTTTCTGACCATGCTGCAGTCCCTAACTTGTCAGTTAAATGGGAGTTTATATAGAATTATACTTCTCGTGGTCAACCTTAGTATGTATCATCTCTCTCTCCCTTATATGGCTTGGCAACTTGCTGATCCTCAGCAGAATTCAATTGCAGAAAAAAATAAGTAATTCTAGTCCTCATGAAATTAGAAATAAAATTATAAATTCCAATATTTCTCAATTATTAGCAAAACAAAATATGATAACAGAAATCTGGGAGACCCACCAAGAACTCTAGTTTGTTCTGCTCACTCTGTGACATAGCTTTTAGGTTTTTGGTCTTGCAGTTGTCCTTATTATTATTTTTTTAAAAAAAGAAGAAATGAAATGTGGACTCTAAAAAGTGGGTGTGAAAGAGTTATTCAAAGTAATAGTGTTGCCCATCTATATAAATAAAAATGTAATGTTAGTTTGTGGGATTAACAGAACTCATAAACCACTGGACGAATTGACACCAAATTTGGACACAATACACCTAACAACCCAATGTATGTCCTTCACTAAAAAAATGGATTTTGACTTTTGGGAGTTGTAGTTGCTGAGATTTATAGTTCACCTTCAATCAAATAGCACGATAGAATTGAACCAAACGTGGCACACTGGACTCCCATGACCAACCGAAAACACCAGAAAGGTTTGGTGAGCATTGACCTTGATTTTGGGAGTTGTAGTTCACCTATAGCCAGAGAGCACCATGCACTCAAACAATGATGGATCTGGACCAAACTTGGCATGAATATCCCATATGCCCAAATATGAACACAGATGGAGTTTGGGGGGAAACAGACCTTGACATTTGGGAGTTGTAGTTACTGGGATTTATAGTTCACCTATAATCAAAGAGCGTTCTGAACCCCACCAACAACAGAATTGGGGCAAACATCCCACACAGAACTCCCATGACTAATAGAAAATACTTAAGGCCATCCAGTCCAACTCCCTTCACCAGGGCAAGAAAACGTAATCAAAGCCCTCCTGACAAAGAGCCATCCAGCCATAGATATAGATAGATATATATGATTCACACAGAGAGAGAGATATAATATCATAGATTTGAAAGGGACCCCTAAAGAAGAACAATAATATGTTACATGTCCCAGAGTAGGCAAACCAGACAATCTCCACATCAACACTGACAAAGAAACAAGAATACTGTTTACCCACAAGCTTAGAAAAATTACAAATATTAGAAACCAACGCTTTCTCATTACTTTATTTTCCAGATCATCAGACTGGGCCACAGCAAAGCGTGGCTGGGGACGGCTAGTTGCATAAATAAAACTACAAAAGGTACTAGTCCCCAGTGGCTGACAGCCACAGAAGCAGAATGGAGAAGTTTCAATTGCTGTTATTTTTCCTTAGATGTATTAATTAGAAAAGTAATCCAAAGAGACAATGGAGTGCTCTGATACCACTTATCTACCAAAGTCCTATCAAGTGCTTGTGGAAGTAATGCAGAAACTAGTTTTTGCAGAATGAGTAACTATGGCCTGAATTTTCTTGAGTTTATTGCTCTATCGAATCTAACACGCACTCCAATTTCCAAAACCGTGAAACAAAAAAAAAATTGCTGCCAAATGTAATGCACAGTGGCAAAAAGGATACTCTTTATAATTTGGCCCAAAAGGTGTGCATTACAGTTGCTGCCTGTTTAGAATTCCTTCTTTCAAAACAAAAGTGTTAGAATACCAAAGCTACCAACAGCAGAAAAGAAAATCTATGCTGCAGAATGAATCCACTTTAACTGCCCTGGCATGTAGTTTTACGAGATTCCTCTGCCACTAGCATTTGAAGGCCTGGCTGAGCCTGGGAAAATCTTTTGTTGAGAGGTGTTAAGATGTGCCTGCTTGTTTCCTCTCTGCTGTTTTGCTGTTGTAATTTTAGAGTTTTTTTTAATACTGGTAACACAAAAACAACTCTAAAATTACAACAGCAAAACAGCAGAGAGGAAACAACCAGGCACATTTTAACACCTCTCAACAAAAGATTTTCCCATGCTCAGCCAGGCCTTCAAATGCTAATGAAGTTGGTCAGTTGAAACATTCACACCTAGCTCCAGCAGAGAAGAGCTCTTTGCCCCACCCCAGCCATTCCACAGATATATAAACCCACTGTCCTAATGCCAACAGACCTCACTACCTCTGAGGATGCTTGCCATAGATGCAGGCGAAACGTCGGGAGAAATGCCTCTAGAACATGGCCCTATAGCCCGAAAAAAACCACAAGAACTTAGTGATTCCAGCCATGAAAGCTTTCGACAATACAAGGTGTAGGCCCTTCTACACTTTAACAATCAAGGCACTAAGGCTAAAGATCCGTTGAGCTGCCGAACTTGCTGACGGAAAGGTTGGTGGCTGCAGCAGGTTGCTTTTGCCTGAATACACTGGAAAGTCAAGATTCTATTCTGACTTCCTTCCCTGTGTCTTTCGTTATATTCAGGGATGGTGCAAACATTTCCACAACTGCCATTTATTTAAAACAAAGCAAATGTAATTGGAGGGGGGGGGGGGGTTAACTGGATCGACCACATACTTACTTTGAACATTTCATCAGGGATACATTTTATTGCTGTGGGGTGGAAATAAGGCATCAATTCTTTATTGACAGCTTTTAATTCTGTGTCATTTAAACCCGCTGGAAAGGAAGAGAGAAAGAGAGAGAGAGAGATGAGAGATCAGAAGAGCATCGGCACGTTAATTGGGAGACATTTGGGGCTGATGCTCATTTCCGAGCCGCCTCCAGCTCCAGCCGATCAATATTTGATTGTAAAATGTTTTCACTCACCGCTGGGAAATCAGGTCTTTAAGACAACAAGGAGAAGCTCCACAATTAAATGGGTGTTTGATGTGAAGCAACTATGGTAAAAGTGCACTTTATTAATCCAATGCTTGCTTTCCTTTGATCCTGTTTCAAAGCTGTCGTTTCCTTTTGCTATTCCCATCCCTTCAATTTCAGTGGGTAATAATCGGCACCTTGTTTGCACAGGAACATCACCAGTTCTATGCAGAAATAAGTATCTTGATCCATCATGGCATCTCTTACATTGGCTGATGACAAACAATCCAAGACAACATTAAGAAGACGTAACTTTAGGTGCATCTACACTACAGACTTAATGGAGTTTGAGACCACCTGGGAGTTCTAATTTTACAAACTTCTCTGCCAAAGAGTGCTGTGTCCTCACCAAATTATAGCTCCCAGCATTCCATAGTGTGCTGGCACGGTTGTGCCAGGAGATTGGAATTTCCTTTTCTTGCACTGTTAGTTTGCATGAATCTATTTGGGCAATGCATTTTGCAATTGGGTAGCTTTCCCCAGGTTGCAGTCATAGGGCCAACAACCTATCAATCATCATTAGAGCCTTTAGATCCGCCCCTTTCCCCAGGGAGTCTCACAGTTTGGAGCCTTACAACAGGATGTGTGGGCTTTCTCTGTCCCACTTGCAAAAAGCTTCACTTCTTACAGCTTTGCTGGGGTTAAAGATATAGATCTACAGCCATCTTTTGCTGGTGAAAAAGGAAAACCTCTACAGCTTTGCTGGGGAGTAAAATTACAGTTCCACAGCTTTGCTGGGGGAATACAGCCAGCTTTTGCTGAAAAAAAAAGAATGGTTCCACGGCCTTCATGGGGCAAATCTACAGGACACCAGCTTGGCAGATCTACAGCAACCATTGCCTGGTAAGGGACCACTCGGGCTATCCATAACGCAGCTTGGAGCCGGGAGTTGGGGCCTCACGCCTGCAGGGTAAAGAAAGATTGCCCAAGGAGGAGTCGGAAGATTTCCCTAAAGAAGATAGGAACCGTTTATCAAGCAGTTGCCTGTCCCTTGTTAGCAGATCGAGAAAGACACTAGTTTTTCAAGATTATAAAGCATTTAATTCATTTGTTCGAAGATTTAAGCCTTAATAAAGAACTTTGTTGAACCTAGTTTGAGCCTCTACAGAACTTTGTGTTGGGAAACCTATGGGACCCCTTAGCTGAGGCACCCCGGCGTCCCGTTGGGCATAAAGAAAGCACGTCCTGTAAACAGACATTGTCATAGACCCAGCGCGTGACAGCACACATAGCACTGAGCCAGGGTAGTGCTATGGAGCCCCCAGTGTCACAATGGGTTAAACCCCTTTGTCGGCTGACAGGTTGGCAGTTCGAATCCAGGGAGCAGGGTAAGCTCCCGTCTGTCGAGCTCTAGCTTCCCATGAGGGGACATGAGAGAAGCCTACCACAGGATGGTAAAACTTCAACCGTCCGGGTGTCCCCTGGGCAACGTCCTTGCAGACGGCCAGTTCTCTCACACCAGAAGCTACTTGTAGTTTAGCAAGTCACTCCTGACACGCACACACACAAAAGCCAGGGCAGTTAAAGGGGTGTCAAACTCCATTAATTTTACAGTGTAGATCAGACATGAGCAAACTTTGGCCCTCCAGTGTGTTTTGGACTTCCAACTCCCATAATTTGTCATAGTCTACCGGCTGTAAGGAATTGTGGGAGTTGACGTCCAAAACAAATGCCTGGTGTAGATGTGCCCTTAATGGAACTATCTTTGAGTAAATGTTACTTTAGATTTCAGTCTTCGGGTAATGCAGATGTGTTATTAAGGCATCTAGATGCCCTAAAAGCCCCAAATCCTGTCTGATTCTGGAAGAAAAGCAGGCTTGGCCCTGGTTAGTATTTGGATGCGAGATCACCAAGGAATCCCAGATATTGAGGGCTATATTTCAAAGGCAAAACCACATTGAGGGTTTTTTTGCCTTAAAAAAACCCTCTATGAAATGTATGAGATCGATATATGTCGACAGGCAAAACACACATATATGGCCCAAATGGCTGAGGAATTCATTTACTGGGAATTCAGATGTGAACTGACCACATTTCCATCTCCTGATCAGTAAAGATGAATCATAATGTAATTATTGTTTTGGTCTTGAATTTGTCTAGGTTTTGCTACACAGTTCCAAAATGGAAAATACTTAAAAACAGTTTTGGAAAATGTATGTATCAATTTTACACAAATGTAATTGAAATGTGATTAATATGCAAACAAGAGAACACAATGTAGGAATATTTGCCTATGTCATTAACATGGATCATTGACAAACCAATGTATCCATCTGTTTCTTCCCTCTCTAGATGACACAGTTGACCTCATGGATTTGAATGGATTTTAAAATGCTTAAATGCTGGATTAGGGCATTGTTGATAGACACGAGGTGGTCATTGGAAAGGAATAAGGCTTGGTAGCTGTCATATACCTGTAGACTTTAGTATACTGCCAGTCTTCCAAAATTATTGGAGTTGTAGGTATTGGGATTTATAGTTCACCTGCAATCAATGAGAACTCTGAACTCCACCAAAGATGGAATTGGACCACACTTTGCACACATAGCCTCCATGACCAGCAAAAAATACTGGAGGTCTTTGTGGAAAATTGACCTTTATTTAGGGGAGTTGTAGTTCACCTTTACCTAGAGAGCACTGTGAACCCAAACACCAAGGGATCTGGACCAAACTTGGTACACAGGCCTGATGTGCCAAATTTAATTACTGGAGGGGTTTGGGGGAACTGACCTTCCTTTCTGGGAGTTGTAGTTTATTAATTATTATAATTATTCCAAAAATATCGGGATTGGGTGCACAGGACCCCCATTAAAAAGAAAAATCACAAATTTAAAAAATATATTTAAAAAAAAATCTGAGATAACACCTCTCTAGGAATTTCTAGGTCCTCTAGCACTATTCTATGGTCAACGTTCAATACATTTGATTAAAATACAGTTCACCAGAGAAATGGTGACCTCCACCAATGATGGACCTGGACCAAACTTAGCACACAAAACACCCATGACTAATTCAACCTACTGGAGGGGTTTAAGGGGACTGACTCATCATATTGGGAGTTGTAGTTTACCCTACAGCCAGAGAGCACACTGAACCCCACCGATGATTCATCTAGAGCAAACTTGCCCAACATAACAAACTTTAAGCACTGATGGAGTTTTTTGGGGTTAACTTGGCATGATGTGAATTGTAGTTAACCCACAACTTTGTACATTTTGTACAATTAAAATGGACTCAAATAACCCGGGCAATGCCGACTAGGACACTAAGATCATCTGGGGAGGCCCTGCTCTCTGTCCCGCCTGCATCACAGGCACGCTTGGCGGGGACGAGAGACAGGGCCTTCTCAGTGGTGGCCCCTTGGCTGTGGAACGCCCTGCCTGCAGATATCAGATCGGCCCCCTCCCTGCTGGCGTTTCGGAGGAAAGTGAAGACCTGGCTGTTCGAACAAGCATTTGATTAAATAGTGTAATTGAACATAGGAATACGGAATAATGGATGATGAGACTGGATTCTGATTTTACTGTTGAGGCGCTAATGATTGTTATACTGACTTTTAATGATTTATGTTACAATTGTTTTTAATTGCCCTATACTTGTCTCGTGATGTTTTGTAACAATGTTGTTCACCGCTTTGAGTTGCCTGAGGGCTGAGAAAAGCGGTATAGAAATAAAGTAAGTAAGTAAATAAATAAAGTAAATAAATGCCGGGTACTCAAGCTAGTATGATAACAACAACAACAACAATTCATATAGAGAAGATTTTAATCAAATCCATGAATAGTCAAACCTGCAAATGCCAAACCCTCAAATGTGGAGAACAGACTGTAATTTGTAAACTAAGTTTACTAATGTCCTAGTTATTCTTGCAGTATTCTTATATCTAGAAGTCACATTGAAGGTTAGGCAATTAGGCAATTGAACAAAGGTTCAATAAATAGCATACTCGAGGGATAGAAGGGGGGATAGTGGTATTCTGACAAAGAGAAAAACAATTGTGATGGATGCTGCCTTACCTGCGATGGTACCAATCTCCTGCAAGATAGATCTATCCCAGGTTGCAGCGATCCCAAACACAGACTCTGCTTTATTTTTAAAACCTTCCAGGACAATTGGGCTACATGACAAAGAACCGATTCTTGCAACCACAGCACTATGAAAAGGGGGAAATATTCACATCCTGTAAAGACTGAAAATGCATTGTATTGAAACCTTCTTACTGCTGTTGAGATTTGCCTTGATTGACACAATTTAAGGATGAAGATGAAAAAACTTCAGAACACAAATAGAGTACCTGTTTCCCAAAGCTTTTCTGAGTATTTATATGAGCCTCTGAGTCTTCTATCTTCTCTTGTGAGTATGGAGAGATATGTCTCTAGATAATGTATTGTTGAAGGCTTTCATATGCTGGAATCACTTGGTTGCTGTGAGTTTTTCGGGCTGTATGGCCATGTTCCAGAAGCATTCTCTCCTGATATTTCACCCACATCTATGGCAGGCATCCTCAGAGGTTGTGAGGTCAGTTGGAAACTACGAAAGTGGGGTTTATATAACTGTGGAATAATGTCCAGGGTGGAAGAAAGAACTCTTGTCTGCTTGAGGGTTATGTTGCAATGCGGACTCAGATAACCCAGTTCAAAGCAGATATTGTGGATTATCTGCCTTGATATACCGGGTTATATGGCTGTGTGGAAGGGCCCTGACACACCACAACTGCAAATACAGAACATATTTATTTTATTGACAGCTATTCAAGAAGATTGCACTAGCTCCTGATTGGCTGAAAAACCTTTGGGCTAGAATGTGTGTCCTGAGTGGCTCGGGACTTTGCTGGTTGGCTTTTCATGTGTTGGGAAATTCAATAAACTGTCATTGGAGCATTTGAAGTGTCAGTCCATTTAGTGGTCCACCTCTGAGAAGGTTGTGATCAGAAAGGAATACTCTGTGGTGTATTGTCGAAGGCTTTCATAGCTGGAATCACTGGGTTGTTGTAGGTTTTTTTGAGTTATATGGCCATGTTCTAGAGGCATTTTCTCCTGACGTTTCACCTGCGTCTATGGCAAGCATCCTCGGAGGATGCTTGCCATAGATGCAGGTGAAACGTCAGGAGAAAATGCCTAGAACATGGCCATATAACCCCCCAAAAATCTACAACAACCCAGTACTGTGTGGCATTGGGAAGTGAGTCTATGATGTGCTTAATGGGTTGGCTCTGGTTAACACAATATGGCTAGCCCAATGTACACAACAGATGCTTGAAGATGATGACCATATCAATAGGTGAGGTTGGTTTGGGGAATGGGTCAAACTGTATTAATTCAAATGAGTAGGCTACCCCTATGAAAATCTCATACCTGAATTCAATCACATTTATGGCTGCAATCTCTGTAGTATCCAAGGCACACAGGCTGGCACCCAGTCCTGCCAAATCAAAGCTTTTCAAAGTGGCCATCACTTGGCCAGAGTCTTCCAGAAAACCATGTAAAATGGCCCGGGCCTGGGGAAAAGAATCGGCCAGCAACAATATAACTGTTTTCAATTAGATCAGAAAGAAACACGATTCTATATCAAACATGAAATTATCTACGAACATAATTTTTCTGGAACTTCTAATCAGGAATATATCTTAGGATATATTTGACGTTATGAAAATGATGCATCGGATATAATGGAAAAAATAATGCACTACAAGTAAAAATTTAACCTGTTAACTAATTGCTTTGTGGCAATGCCCCTCCTTACTTAAGAATGAGGATTATTGTTGTTGTTGTTGTTGTTTGATACAGAACAAGATTAGTACACAGCAAACAAGATCACTATGCTGGCTGTTGTATTGGATCACATGTCGGACACTTCCCAAGTGTGTAGGACTGTGTGATATATTGGTGGATAATGTGTGCAGATCCCAGTAGGGCAGCCTTTTGCAGTTGACAGATGGTAATTTTGTCAGCGCCGATTGTATTTAAGTGCAAGCCAAGGTCTTTAGGCACTGCACCCAGTGTGCCTATCACTACTGGGACCACCTTGACAGGCTTGTGCCAGAGTCTTTGCAGTTTTATCTTTAAATCATCATAACATATAAGCTTTTCCAGTTGCTTCACGTCAATTCTGCTGTCACCTTGGATTGCAACATCAACGATCCATACTTGTTTTTTCCCCATGAATAATAATAATAATAATAATAATAATAATAATAATAATAATTTGAAACACAACAAGATGATTCCACAGCAGGCAAGATCACTTTGCAGGCTGTTGTATTGGATCATAGGTCGGACACTTTCCAAGTGTCTAGGACTGTGTGATGTATCGGTGAATAATGCGTCCAGATCCGAGTAGGGCAGTCTTTTGCACCTGACAGATAGTAATTTTGTCAGCGCAGATTGTTTTTAAGTGCAGTCCAAGGCCTTTAGACACTGCACCCAGTGTGCCTATCACTACTGGGACCACCTTGACAGGCTTGTGCCAGAGTCTTTGCAGTTTTATCTTTAAATCATCATAACATGTAAGCTTTTCCAGTTGCTTCTCGTCAATTCTGCTGTCACCTGGGATTGCAACATCAATGATCTATACTTCTTTTTCCCCATGAATAATAATAATAATAATAATAATAATAATAATAATAATAATAATAATAACAACAACAACAATAACAATAATAATAATAACAACAATAATTTGAAACACAACAAGATGAATCCACAGCAGACAAGATCACTTTACTGGCTGTTGTATTGGATCATAGGTTGGACACTTCCCAAGTGTCTAGGACTGTGTGATGTATCGGTGAATAATGCGTGCAGATCCCAGCTGACAGATGGTAATTTTGTCAGCACCAATTGTGTTTAAGTGCAGGCCAAGGTCTTTAGGCACTGCACCCAATGTACCAATCGCCACTGGGACCATCTTTATTGACTTGTGCCAGAGTCTTTGCAGTTCAATCTTTAAATCCTCGTATAGTGTCAGCTTTTCCAGTTGTTTCTCTTCAATCCTGCTGTTACCTGGGATTGCAACATCAATGATCCATACTTTGTTTTTTAACACGATAGTGAGGTCAGGAGTATTGTGCTCCAAAACTCTGTCTGTCTGAATTCGGAAGTCCCAGAGGAGTTTAACGTGTTCATTTTCTGTAACTTCTTCCAGCTTGTGATCCCACCAGTTCTTTGTCACAAGCAGATGGTATTTGTGGCACAGGTTCCAATGAATCATCTGCGCAACGGTGTTATGCCTCTGCTTGTAGTCTGTTGCCGCGATCTTCTTGCAGCAGCTGAGGATGTGATCTATTGTTTTGTCTGCTTCCTTGCAGAATCTTCATTTGGGGTCTGTCGTAGACTTTTCAATTCTGGCTTTGATGGCATTTGTTCTAATGGCTCTAATTTGTTCTAATAATAATAATAGTCATCATCATCATCATCATCTAATATGTTCTTGTTCTTATTATTTCTAGGGTAATATGCACTGTTCACTGATCAAGCATTGCTTTGGAAGGTGATATGGAAGGGTTTCCTCCTATTTTGCATTATTGAAAACCAATATTGAGGGAAGTGGACATCTGGATACTAAGAGTCTGATGATTTTCTCTCTCTGTAATTTTGGCAGTCTGTACAGAACCAATAAACATAAAATTGGCCCTGGACCCTCAAAAATCACCCATTTCCGATTTATACAATAAGACAAGTACAGTAGAAATGGAATGAAATTCCACCCAAAATATGCTGCTTTAATTTTTTTTTTTAATCTAATGCTCTCACAGAGAGCCGAACAGGCTTTAAAATCAATATATAATATAAAGCAACACCGCTCCCTGAGAACAAATTATCAGGCTAACATATGCCACCTCGAGCTCATTAGTCAAAAGGCAGCACAGAACACATTAACAATTGAAAAAAATAAATGAGTTCTTTCTCTCCAACACAAATGTGGTTTGGAATGGATTTTAGTCTAACACAATAAAAGGTTGACTAACTCCAGCATATATGGCATGTTTCTTTTTCAGGGCTTTTCATTCTGTTAGTCTATTAACTTCAAAGGACTTTCTGCAGTCACTTAAAAGAAGAATAAACAACATGCTTTAAGACAACAATACAAGAGGTCTACTGTGTAATGGCTTATTGTGAGTCTGCATGTTTGCCTCCTGAGTGGGATAATATTACAGCTTCAACATAGCCATTCTGTTAAGGCTGGCTAATATTCAGCTGTGTCTCATGGTTAGGAGATAGTTGGAAGCTCTTTTGTGTTTTTAATAGTTTTATGGTCTATTTAGGGGCTGACCAAGGGCAAGATGGGTGGATGGTATCCTTGAAGTGACTGGCTTGACCTTGAAAGAGCTGGGGGTGGTGACGACCGACAGGGAGCTCTGGCGTGGCCTGGTTTATGAGGTCATGAAGAATCGGAAGAGACTGAATGAATGAACAACAACATGGTCTATCAATATATTTTAACTATGTTGTATCCTGCCTCGAGCCTTGAATAGAGGTGGCTAAGAAATAAAATGATGGTGATGATGGTGACAAAGTGATGGTGACAATGCTGTTTCAATGAGTTCTGAATAAAATTCAGGAAAGTGATTTCTACACTGCAATATCCTTAAACCATCAGTCAACATGGTCAGTACAAATTTTCACTGAGGATTGCAAGTTGTAGTCCAAAGAAATGATTCCCTGTTCCCATGTGAAGGGAGAGCAAAGAGGCTTGTGTCTGTCTCTCTATTCCAGTGGTTCCCAACCTTTTTTTGACCAGGGACCACTTTGTCCAGGGATCACTCTCCAACATTAGTACCAAAAGAGTTACGAATTGGTTTTTGTCCAACTTGATTATTTGGGGTGCTGATTCAGAAAACAGCATTGGATAGACCGCATCAGCAGTTTCTCAAGTTGCTCTTGACACAAAAAATAATCAGCTCTAGTTTCTGAAACAGAACATATGCCATCCAATAGTCGCCATCTGCTCGCCCACAGAAAACCATATTTATTAAACCTCGGAACTTTAAGAGGGTTTTGTGAGACCGGTCGCTCTTGTTGCAACGGTGTAGTAATGGTGAAGTTGTTGTTTATTTGTTCAGTCACTTCCGACTCTTCGTGATCTCATGAACCAGCTCACGCCAGAGCTCCCTGTTGGCTGTGGCCACCCCCAGCTCCTTCAAGGTCAAGACAGGCACTTCAAGGATACCATCCACCCATCTTGCCCTTGGTCTGCCCCTCTTCCTTTTTCCTTCCATTTCCCCCAGCATTATTGTCTTCTCCAAGCTTTCCTGTCTTCTCATTATGTTATTTATTTATTTTTCGTGTCAGGAGCAACCAGACAGTATTACATTTTTAACAAAACAACAAACAAACAGACAAAACACAAAGTTTGCAAGCTTGGTAGTTGATTAAATGTCCTTTGACCAGTATCTGGCCACTTGGAGTGCCTCTGGTGTTGCCGCAAGGAGGTCCTCCATTGTGCATGTGGCAGGCTCAGGTTGCATTGCAGCAGGTGGTCAGTGGTTTGCTCTTCTCCACACTCGCATGTCGTGGATTCCACTTTGTAGCCCCATTTCTTGAAGGTTGGCTCTGCATCTCGTGGTGCCAGAGCGCAGTCTGTTCAGCGCCTTCCAAGTTGCCCAGTTTTCTGTGTGCCCAGGGGAGTCTCTCATTTGGTATCAGCCATTGATTGAGGTTCTGGGTTTGAGCCTGCCACTTTTGGACTCTCGCTTGCTGGGGTGTTCCAGCGAGTGTCTCTGTAGATCTTAGAAAACTATTTCTCATTATGTGAATAATGGTGAGGTCGCAGACCATATTTTATATTTCCGCTACCTTGCCAGCCACTTCTTCACAAAAGTCAACATTGACACTGAAATACAACACTGCCTGAGCTGTGCGAGTGCAGCATTTTTCCGAAAGGATACCAAGGTGCTTGTTTATAAAGCTATTGTCCTCCCAACCCTGCTATACACTTGCGAAACGTGGACTGTCTACAGACGTCACATGCACCTTCTAGAACGATTCCATCAGCGCTGCCTCCGAAAATCCTGCAAATCTCTTGGGAAGACAAGCAGACAAATGTTAGTGTGCTGGAAGAAGTAAAGACCACCAGCATTGAAGCGATGGTCCTCGCCATCAACTCCGCTGGACCGGCCACGTTGTCCGGATGCCCGACCACCGTCTCCCAAAGCAGTTGCTCTACTCCAAAATCAAGAACGTAAAACGGAATGTTGGTGGGCAGGAAAATAAATTTAAAGATGGCCTCAAAGCCAACCTTAAAATCTGGCATAGACACTGAGAACTGGGAAGCCCTGGCCCTTGAGCTCCAGCTGGAGGTCAGCTGTGACCAGCAGTGCTGCAGAATTTGAAAAGGCAGAATATATAAAAATCCAAAGTATCTGCTTTGAGCTGGGTTATATTGCAGTGTAGACCAGGCACTGGCAAACTTGGGCCCTCCAGGTGTTTTGGACTTCAACTCCCACAATTCCTAACAGCCTACCGGCTGTTAGGAATTGTGGGAGTTGAAGTCCAAAACACCTGGAGGGCCCAAGTTTGCCCATGCCTGCTGTAAAATATAAAATACAATATTTTCTAGCAGACCAGTACTATTGACTAATCTGTGCCCATTGAGAACTGATATGTATAGTTTTGGATGGATGGGAAACCATTGTGAAAGATGGGAGGACCACTCCCAAGTTCCTTGCATCCAACCCCAGATCCACTTACCTGGGAAGGGTTCCATTCTGTCTGCTCACTAAGGGCAGCAATCGTATCAATTGAACTCAGATTCAGAGCTCCCATTTCAGTCTCGTTTAATGTGGTGGCAATGCGCCCGAGAGAAACTATGTGATAATTCTGCCAGCTTGTTAATGGGCCCCAGACCTTTAAAAACAATCATGAAATTAAGAATGAAATTAGTGTTAGCGTATACAGAAACACACACGTTACCATCTAGAAAGTACGACTGGGACTACATCCCATATTGCTTGTACCTAATGAAGTACTTGTATTTAAAGGGGCAATTAACACCCATTCCCTTCCCAAAAGATGTGCTCTGATGTAGTGGAAAGGTGCTAAAACCCATGATTCTAAGGCCCCTACTACACTGCTATATAACCCAAAATATCGAGGCAGAAAATCCCACAATCTGCTTTGAACTGGGTTACCTGAGTCCACACTGCCATATATTCCAGTTCAAACCAAAAAATGTGGGATTTTATTCAGCTGTGTGGAAAGCGTCACAGATTATCAAAATAGATAATGCATGTTCTGGCACAGCTGTACCAGGAGCTCCAACTTTCTTTTCTTTTGTTGAGTGTTTGCATGTATTCTAAAGTTCTATGCATTTTACAATTAGGTGGCTTTCCTTAATTTGCAGTTATTGGGCCAATTACCCCTCAGTCATCATTACGTTTTCTAGTTCCGCCCCCTTTTGGGGTTTTGGGAGGGAAAAGGAGCCATTTTATCTCAGTCCACACAGAGAAGTCTTCGTACAGGACGTAAATCGGGTCCTCCTGTAGAAAGCTTCGTCTTTTACAGCTTGGCTGGGGAATACAGTCTCAGCATAGCCTTTGCTGGGAATTTACAGCCTTATAGCTCCTTTACTGAAGGGATCCAGCCCCACAGAGCTACAGCCAGCCATTGCTGGGAACTGAAAGTCTACAAAGGACTCTGTTTGGTAAGGGCCACTCGTGGCAGCCAGAAGCAGTTGGTACCGGGTGTAGGGGTCCCACGCCAGCAAGGCCTAAGACAGACTGCCCAGATAGAGGTTAAGGATTTCCCCGATAGCGAAGAGACAGTTTATGAAGATAGTTGCCTCTCCCCTGTGGACAAGATTGAGAAAGCCACCAATTGGTTAAGAAAGCCTTGAAATAGTTGTGATTTATTGAAGACCTTAGCAACAATAAAAAAACTTTGTTCAACCTTTAAGCAATCTAAAGACTCTGTTTAAGGAAATCTTAAGGCTTCTAATCAGGAGGCAGCCCCGGCGTCCCGTTGGGCACACAGTATATACATCCTGTCTCCAGTCTCTTGCACAGGCCCAGCGAGTGACAGCACAATGCACATTATCTGCTTTGAACTGGGTTGTATGAGTCTACACTGCCATATAATCCAGTTCAAAGCAGATAATCTGGATTTTATATGACAGTGTAGTAGGGGCCATAGAATCTCTTAAATACACTATTAAATAATCAATTAATAAATCTGAGAGCATATGGGATTAAGGTTGTATCCTAAAGCAATGCAAAGCAGAGCCTGGATGTCACCTTAAATTGCAGAGCCTGGATGTCACAGAAGGACATCTAAATAAACTTTTTTTTTCTTATTGTACCTTTCACTTTCAGATAAGGGGAAACATGTTTGTGGGATTTCTCTGTCTCATTTGCCCAATTAATTTAGCTCAGGCATGGGCAACTTCAGCCCGCCATGTGTTTTGGACTTCAACTCCCACAATTCCTAACAGTCTACCAGCAATTAGGAATTGTGGATGTTGAAGTCCAAAACACCTGGAGGGCCAAAGTTTGCCCATGCCTGATTTAGCTGGTTTTAGATACTGTGATTTGGGGAGGAGTAGGGGCCTTCCGGAGCCCCCGGTGGCGCAGTGGGTTAAAGCACTGAGCTGCTGAGCTTGTTGATCGAAAGGTTGCAGGTTCGATTCCGGGGAGCGGCGTGAGCTTCCGCTGTCAGCCCTAGCTTCTGCCAACCTAGCAGTTCGAAAACATGCAAATGTGAGTAGATCAATAGGTACCGCTCCGGCGGGAAGGTAACGGCGCTCCATGCAGTCATGCCGGCCACATGACCTTGGAGGTGTCTACGGACAACGCTGGCTCTTTGGCTTAGAAATGGAGATGAGCACCACACCCCAGAGTCAGACATGACTGGACTTAATGTCAGGGGACTACCTTTACCTTTACCTAGGGGCCTTCCACACAGCCACATAACCCAAGATATCAAGGCAGATAATCCATAATATATTCTTGGAACTGGATTATCTGAGTCCACACTGCCATATAATCCAGTCCAATGTGGATTTTATACAACTGTGGAAAGGGCCTAATTTGCAACTTGTTTGGGCATCGGATTGTCTTGGGTTGTCCATTTGCTAGATTATGTGTTGAGTAGCTTTCTACCAACTCACCTACTTACGTCTTGGATTAGGGGTCAAGTCTAAAATGGTAAAGAGGGGTGCAACCTCCCATTTTTTGAAATGAAGCCCTGCTTCCAATTATTTCAGAGTCACGGCTGTGCCTTGTGTTTTGAGCTTAGTCGTGTAGCTCTGCTAAAAATACCTGCTAGTCGAAGGATTACGCCTGGTTTAGCACATTACAGAAGTAAGTATGTATCTGCCAGATGAGCACAGTTGGCGGATGTTTAATCTTTATGGTAATTTCTCTGGGATGAAGAGTTCCCTCTCGGAGGAATGTTTAAAAAAGAAAACAGGAGTCGTTTCCAAGCTCATGTCAGCAAAGCAACCGATCAATCTTGCTGTTAAGACCACAGCAGCTTAATTTTGTTCTAACATTGCAGTGTTTGATGCTTGAGAACAGCGGTAGCCATTTTCAGAATTGGGCTTTTTTTATTGGAATGGGAGAAGAGAGAAGAGCTGTTAGTCTAGTTGTGGGTGAACTTTGGTCCTCTCGGTGTTTTGGACTTTAACTTCCACAATTCCTAACAGCCTCAGGCCCTTTCCTTTTTCCCCCTCAGCCGCTTAAGCGGCTGAGGGGGAAAAGGAAAGGGCCTGAGGCTGTTAGGAATTGTGGAAGTTAAAGTCCAAAACACGTGGAAGGCCAAAGTTTCCCAATTCCTGGTCTATAAGTACCAGGACTGTGGCGCAGCTGGCTGGGAGTCAGATGCATTAAGATCACTACTGACCGAAAGGTCATGAGTTCGAAGCCATCCCGGGTCGGAGTGAGCTTCCGACCAAAATTGTGTAGCTTGTTGTCGACCTTTGCAGCCCGAAAGACAGTTGCATCTGACAAGTAGGAAATTTAGGTACCACTTATGTGGGGAGGCTAATTTAACTGATTTACGAGGCCATAAAAATCTCCAGGAAGTATGCAAAGAATGAGGAAGTACTTCATCAGTGTCACAAATGGACGGTGAAGCGACAGCTCCCCTGGTGGCCAGAAGCTGGAATGTTAAATAGCCTCTGTGTGTTTGTGTATATATGTTGTGTGCCTATGGCATTGAATGTTTGCCATGTATATGTACATTGTAATCCGCCCTGAGTCCCCTGAGAAGGGCGGAATGTAAATACTATAACTAAATAATAAATAAATAAATAAATAAATAGGTTCAAGAGGGAACTAATGCTCTGTTCACCCCATATGCTTTTTATTCTCACCTGTCTTGCTCCATTGTAAATAGGGTTCGCTCATATACACATTTAAATAAGTTCTTTGGAATCTAGATTTTACCTTTCTCTCCCAAAACCCAGCCTCTATAGTTAGATACCTGCTTAGCTTTCTCTTTTAGCACAGTAAGCTGAGATGCACTGAAACTGCCCACAGAGCCAAGGAGTTCCACAGTCTTGCTGAACGTGCCTGGGTCCATGCAAAACAATTCCTGAACTGACCAAAACTTATTTGCTTCTGAAAGTTTTATAATCTCATCTGAGGACGGTGCTGCAACCTCTTCACAACCTAGAATGGGAGAAAATAGGATTTATGTCTGAATTGTTTACACAAGCAACATTTTTTTAAAAAACCACAATCATAGAATCATAGAATCAAAGAGTTGGAAGAGACCTCATGGGCCATCCAGTCCAACCCCCTGCCAAGAAGCAGGAATATTGCATTCAGATCACCCCTGACAGATGGCCATCCAGCCTCTGTTTAAAAGCTATCAGTTCCCAAAGTCATTTTAAACAACAAAATCCAAAACCTGTAGCCAAGACATGTCCCACTGCAAGGCTGAGAACAACTCACAATGTTTTCTAGTAGACCAACTGGCTATGCATAGGGGGAGATATTTATCCTCTAACTGATTTGTTGTGGCTCAGCAAGCATCAGGGGATTTTTCTGATGGCCTTTCAGAGGATGAGGATACAGAGTTGCAAAGTGAAGAGTCTGCTAGTGATCAGAGGGATTCGCAGGCTGAGGAAGCTGTTATTTGGGATTTCTCCGGTGGGTGCTTGTTCTCAGGCAACAGAAAGTGAAGATTCCAGTTCCCTTGTGAAATAGCCTATAGCTGAACGGGAGTTCTCCCATGCAATCAGATTAGGTTTGAGAACAGAGGGAGTGAAGGACAGATTAATTAGACATTCTGAAAGAATCTGTGAGAAGTCCTTGAAGCCCAGATGTGTTCACCATGATCTCATGGCCTCTCGGTCTGTCTTAAATTAGGTAATGTTTACTCTGTCTCTCTCAGAGGAGACAAGTTGCCTTAAGAATGGTGTTCCTGTCTCGAGTCTCAAGTTTATGATTCAAGTTTCCTGGTTTTGCCTAGAAGGGTTTGCCGTGGATAAAGTTCCTGTTTTCATGCTTACAGATTTATGCTTGGGATTTTGGCTCTCTTGTTTTCATGTACTTTGACATTTTTGGATTGCTGCTATTTCATATTTTCAACTCTACTGCACTTTTGGGAAATGCCCCTTTTCCCTTTGTACATGCTTTTCTTAATAAGCTTTAGTAGACAGCACTACTGGACTCTGGAGTGGCTGGGTGAAAAGGCGAGAGTGCAACAAGGATAATCCTGCTTAATTCTGTGTCATAGCACTTTCTTAGATGCTTTAAAAATACCTCACTTTCTCCCTGTAGTCTTCCGCTCGTGCCAGTTGCTCCAAAGTGAGTTCAAACTCTGAACTCAATTAATTCAGGAGAGGAAAGAAAGAGGGGCTGAATCTGGTAAAAAACAAATTGCTGTAGCCTCTCCTAACTTATGTGTTCTCCCTCATTAATAACATTTGCTATCTTGGCCACTTTCCGGTACTGCTTGGCTACAAAGATCACAATTTTCATCTATGAAATGTTGGATGGTCGAGAGCCAGTATATTACGATATAGTGGCAAATTGGCCCAAGGTCCACATAACTCTTTGGGGATTTCATCCCAGATCTTCTCAGTAATCCTATAACATGCTAAAAGTCAGGCAGGTGGATGGTTATTCTTAGGGAGCAGGGGACTTGGCCACAATATTAGCAGAATGTGCCAGAATCAGTCCCTGACATCTCCTTCTACAAGGATCAGGAAACAGATAAATAATAATAATAATAATAATAATAATAATAATAATAATAATAATAATCAATGTTATTTATACCCCGCCAACATCTCCCCAAAGGGGACTCGGGGTGGATTACATTTCCACTTGAAATCCCAGAGTAAGAAACCCTGCAGGGAGGAATAAATTTGTGTGAAATGGGGAAAGCCATCATGTTCAACTGTCCCTGAAAATGTAAAACCTTAGAGAAATGCTATTCTGCAGTTCTGCCTACAGGTCCCAGCAACCTTGGATTTGACCATCCTTTGAAATAAAATAGAATCACAGCTGCTGCTGCAAAGCTGAGCTCTGTCAACAAAACAAATTACAGCAGGGATGTACCAAACAGATTTGTGCTCGGAACGGAAGCCAAAGGAAGGATTTATCTCAATCAAATCCACACAGAAACCAGCAAAACACCCTAACAAGATTGCATCCAGGAGCTCAACCGAGGGAGAGCTGAGAAACACATGCAAATGTCTTATCTTCTTCCCAAAGAATCCCATCAATACAAAATAGCTCAATTGTTTTACAAACAAAAGAAGAGTTGGAGACTAATTCCCAATTTGTAGTTTTCAAATCTCAAGAAGTATTGGACTCCATGGCCCAAAGGTCCTAAATTAGTATGGCCAATGCCGAAGAATTTTGGGAGCCGGAGTCCAAACCATCAAAAGAGGAAAAGTTAAGAATTACACTTATAATAGGGAATATTTAGCTAATATATGAATTTATTTATTTATTTATTTATTTATTTGCTGTATTTGTATACCGCCTTTCTCAGCCAATTGGTGACTCAAGGCAGTTTCCAACAAATCAGTATACATAAAACATAATATAGATAAAAAACATTAAACAGTATAAAACATCACAAAAGCAGTAAAAACAACATCATCAGCGTCTCATTATTCTCAATCATTGTCCAGTTCCATTGTCAGGTCATTCGATTTCCTATTTTAGCTACTCAGTATTTGCTCAAATAGCCACGTTTTAACTTGCCTCTAAAACATCAAGAGGGAAGGAGCAGATCTGATCTCCCTAGGGAGGGTGTTCCATAGCCAAGGGGCCACCACTGAGAAGGCCCTATCTCTCGTCCCTGCCAAATGTGTTTGTGACAAAGGCAGGACTGAGAGCAGGGCCTCCCCAGATGATCTTAAAGTCCTCAGTGGTTCGTAAGGGGACAAGTAAGTTGGGCCAGAACCAAATGTTAAGGCAGGTTTTTTTGTTTCTATAAATTCCAGAAAACATGAAATTAACTTCATAACTAACAGTGCAATTTAAACATCTTTGTGCTGAAAGAAGTCACGCTTTTCCTCCCGACAGCACTAAATTATGCATTTTAGTCAGGGGCAAAAAAACAAAACAAAACCCGGGACTTGAAAAGATGTCTGGATAGAGACCTGTTGGTCCAGGGATTTCTACCTCTGTTGTCCACACTTGCTGCTTTGTCGCGGGATTTTGCAGCCCCCAAGATGGCTGCTGCAGGACTTCCGCTGGAAATTTTGTTGTTGTTTTTTTGTCGTGTCAGGAGCGACCTGAGAAATTGCAAGTCGCTTCTGGTGTGAGAGAATTGGCTGTCTGCAAGGACGTTGCCCAGGGGACGCCCAGATGATTTGATGTTTTTATCATCCTTGTGGGAGGCTTCTCTCATGTCCCTGCATGAGGAGCTGGAGCTGACAGAGGGAGCTCATCCACCTCTCCCCGGATTCAAATCTGCGACCTGTCGGTCTTCAGTTCTGCCGGCACAGGGGTTTAACCCACTGCACCACCGGGGGCTCCTTAACTAAAGATGCAAACACGCAAACATGCGAATCATTATATAAGTTCCATTCCTGGGTTATATACACTGCAGGGCCATCTGTGCAGACAGGGTGTTTTTCCTGGGTTATACATGTCTGTTCATCATTGCTCTTAATGTGAAAAGATATACAACGGGGCCACAACTTTGTCCTGGCCAGAGAAAATGTGCCCTCCACACGTTTCATGAAGTTTCTGGCACACAAACAAAGTTTTCACCTTCTACTCAACTGTCACCTTCTTTTTAGGAACTGACCAATCAGGAACAAACATCTAAAATCCAGAAGCAAACCCAGATTTTTTTTAAAAAAAAAATTGTGATTTCAGAATGTTGGAACATACAGCTATTCAAAGATGTGGATTTTCAGCTCAGAACTGGGATAGTCCCACACCTGAAAATCTCACATGTTTTGCTGTTCTTGTCTATTGCTTCCACGTTTACAGAGAACGGCGTTTGGTTACCCTCCTGTTTGCTGCAGGAGATCCTGGGGTAAAGGTAATATCTGGACAGGCCCTGTGGCATCCTCCGAGGGCCAGTGGGTCCAGCATTATTACAGTTTCAATCAAGTAAAGTAAAGCAAAGTTCCATGCATTTCTATTTCTTATGAAGCCAGCTCTTCTAGTTTAAGCCCACGAACGCAGGAGTTACAGAGAAAAATAACAGGAAAACACAGAGTAACAATATTTTAAGTAGCAGCACAGATAGTTTATGTAGGACACAATGTCACAATGCTAATGTGACAATAAATTAAGGAGAAATAATCTGTAGGCTCAAATTTACACAGACTTCCTCTTTTACTTATGCAGCTAGCAAAGAAACAAACCAAAGTTAAATTAAATCAATCAAAATAGTGATCCATAGGGTATTCTTAATGTTATGCTTGGCAGGGACATCAATAATAAGTATGTGCTCGTACCTTGGGAAGTCTGACTTGGCCATGGTAGTCCACGCTCTGGTTACATCCCATATAGACTACTGCAATATACTCTATGTGGGGTTGCCTTTGAAGACTGTCCAGAAGCTTCAAATAGTCCAATGAACGGCAGCCAGATTGCTAACAGGAGTGGCGCTCAGGGAGTGTACACCTCTGTTACGCCAGCTCCATTGGCTGGACACAATTCAAAGTGCTGGCTTTAGCCTATAAAGCCCTAAATGGTTCTGGCCCAACTTACAAGTCCAAGCGCATCTCCCCTTATGAACCATCTAGGACTTTAAGATCATCTGTGGAGGACCTGCTCTCGTTACCGCCTTCGTCACAAGTACGTTTGGCGGAGACGAGAGACAGAGCCTTCTCGGTGGTGGCCCTTCAGCTGTGGAACACCCTCCCTATAGATATTAGATCAGCCACTTCCCTTTTAACATTCCAGAAAAAAGTCAAGATGTGGCTTTTTGAACAAGAGTTTCCAAATGCAGAGTAACTGACATAGGAAAATGGAACGACAACAATGAGACCGGACAACGTTTTAAACAACGTTTATATTTTATTGATATGTTTCGTTTTTATTATATGTTATGTTTTTAAGTGTATTTATGATATTGTAAGCATTGAATTTTACCCTGTTAATCGCCTTGAGTCGCCTGAGAAAGGCGGTATAGTAAATGCAGTAAGTAAGTAAACAAATAATAAGCCAAACAATATGGCCTGCAGCAAAGTGCTGTCGTATGGAGTGCTCTTGATCCGAATTTCAGTCCATTTGTGACCCTACCCTTTGATATATCACCCTCTAAGCCAGGCAGCATTCTGGGGTTATTACAATACATTAACTGGTTGAGTTTGGGTCCCCTGCTCCCTTAGGTGCGCCATTACGACTCCATAAACAGAGCGTCAACATCAGAAACAGAATGAGCAATTGCAAGGTAATACTTATAAACTGGAAGAAGCAGCACATACTGCTTTTGTAGCGGTTGTGTAGGAAACAGCTGAATCAACATACACTGATGTGTGACAAAGGATTAAGTGGAAAAATAATCTGTAGGCTCACATTTATATACTTTGCGTTTGGCTTGTTCTTTTAAGCAGGGAACACAACAAATTAAAATAAAATAACTGTTGCTACCCTCCGAGTTGTTCCTTGCATAGATTTCAGCAGATGTTTGGAAGGTTCACGATCCGATTTATTTCAGAAAGCAAAGACTTCCACGGATAGACCAAAACTACATTTTAGTTTTTCATTGTCTCAAAACACATTAAAGCTCAGCAAGATGAAGGAAGAAGTCAGATGGCCTACAGCACAAAGGCAGCGAAGAATTACTCACCAAGGGTTACGTTTGGCACACTCAATGCGGTGCTAGAGTTGCGAACACTTTCAAAATAAGCCAGCAAGAGCTCTTCAGAAGGAGGAACTGGTCCAGATTTCTTTGATGCTATATCTGATATGAAACCAGGAAACTTTGGTGGGGTGGAGGAGGGATAAAATGTTATTATTTAGAGATCACTATTGCTCTGATGAAAGGAGGTTCAGAAGTAATAAGATAAAAGGAGACAAACTGTGTTTTAGTTTTATTGGTAGAATAAAGATCAAGTAGTGCATTCCCTGTAAATAATTTATTTGTCATGATGTCCAAATTTTAGTGCCGTGTTAGAGATTCCCCCCTTTTACTTCCATCATACCATTTCATTTTAGTTTTAAAAGGAAGGGAAAACGAAGTGAAGAATACTGGAAAAGGTTGAATAATGCAACACTGTACCATTTGGTTGCAATTCCCACTTAGAATTAATAAAATAGTTGGCATACCCATGTCTTGGGAGAAAGACAGGATATAAATCAATTCAATAGTATCAATTTAAAGCAGAAATACTAACTACAGAAATACCTTTTCCACAAGGATGCTCAAATCACTCTTTGGCAAAAGAGCTATAAATGGACCAATGTCTTGCGTTGTCTCAGCCGTCCAGTTTCTTGGGGAACTGAAAGAAATGTTTTGGAATACTATTTAAATGAAGTAGTTCTAGAACAATGTTCAGATATCATAAGGCTCAATTGTACATATTACATTTGCATGTTGGAACAACAAATACAAGTTCCAGTAACTATTATCGCAGAGCTTTCCAATTGGACACAATATTCCAGGTGTGGTCTAACCAAAGCAGAATAGAGGGGTAGCATTACTTCCCTAGATCTAGACCCTATGCTGCTATTGATGCAGGCCAAAATCCCATTGGCTTTTTTTGCCACCACATCACATTGTTGGCTCATGTTTAACTTGTTGTCCACGAGGACTCCAAGATCTTTTTCACACGTACTGCTCTCAAGCCAGGCATCCCCCATTCTGTTATAATCCAACCGGTTATAAGAGATATGGACAGATATGTGAACTATAATATCAAAACGTATGGGGCATAATATCTCTCGTGAAAGGCTTTATTTATATATTTAAAAATATGTGTTGTATTGCTTATTTCGCATAATGAGAGGTTTCTCATTATGTGTTGTCAAATGCTTTCATGGCTGGAATCACTGGGTTGCTGAGAGTTTTCCAGGCTGTATGGCCATGTTCCAGAAGCATTCTCTCCTGACGTTTCACTCACATATATGGCAGGCAACCTCAGAGGTTGTGAGGTCTGTTGGAAACTAGGCAAGTGAGGTTTATATATCTGTGGAATAATGTCCAGAGTGGGAGAAAGAACTCTTGTCTGCTTGAGGGAAGTGTGAATGTTGCAAATGGCCATCTTGATTAGCATTTAATGGCCTTGCAGCTTCAAAGCCTGGTTGACTGCTGCCTGGGGGAATCCTTTGTTGGGAGGTGCTAGCTGGCACTGATTGATTCTTGTCTGGAATTCCCCTGCTTTTTGAGTGTTGCTCTTTATTTACAGGTCTTGATTTTACTGTAAGGCCATTAAATGTGAACCAAGGTGGCTATTTGCAACATTCACACTTGCCTCCAACAGACAGGAGTTCCTTCTCCCACCCTGGACATTCCACCTCTCTCGTGCCTAGTTTCTGACAGGCCTCACAACCTCTGAGGATGCATGCCATAGATGTGAACAAAATGTCAAGAGAATATGCTTCTGGAACATGGGCATACAGCCCGGAAAACTCATAGCAACCCAGTTTCTCATAATTTTTGCACAATACACCTACACACTATCACCATTTCATGTATATGCTATGAGACACTGTTTGGAAGGTTTATCTAAAATGCTTGGGAACAGAAGAGTGTTGGATTTCAGATTTATGCATTGTGGGAAAACTGTATTTCCATGCACAACTAAAGGCTGGTGTGACAAAGTCCAAAAACACATACACAGACATATATTATCCTTGGTTATTATCAATTTAAGGCAAAATTGCTATGAAGACAGTGGTAAATTGGTTTTTCTCCCACTCCAATGAGTGTTGACCCCACAGATTATTCCCTTACCCATACAAATCAATGATCCAGTGTTTAATGTCCATCTCCTGTTCATGGCTGAGATGTTGGCATTGTTCATACTGTTGAAGGGCTGTGGCCACTGTCTCCAGTGACCCCACACAAATTAATGCTGAGGACAAATGGCAGATGAGGTTGCCAATCAAGTCAAGGTCATATTCATCAACGATAGAGCCATTCTGAAATAAAGAAGTCAAGAGTTAATATGTGAATGCCTAATGTGAGAGTTGTAGTTCACCTACATCCAGAGTGCACTGTGAACTCAACCAACAATGGATCTGGATCAAACTTGGCACAAATATTCCATATGCCCAAATATGAACACAGATGGAGTTTGGGGAAATAGACCTTGACATTTGAGAGTTGTAGTTACTGGGATTTATAGTTCACCTACAATCAAAGAGTGTTCTGAACCCCACTAATGACAGAATTGGGGCAAACTTCCTACCCAGAACCCCCATGACCAACAGAAAATACTTAAGGCCACCCAGTCCAACTCCCTTCACCAGGGCAAGAAAACGTAATCAAAGCCCTCCCGACAAAGAGCCATCCAGCCATACATATAGATATATATGATTCACATACACAGATATAGTATCATAGATTTGAAGGGAACCCCTAAAGAAAGACAATGATATATTGCATGTTCCAGAGTAGGCAAACCAGACAATCTCCACATCAACACTGACAAAGAAACAACAAGAAATACTGTTTATGCACAAGCATAAAGACATTATATATATTAGAAACCAACACTTTCGCATTACTTTATATTCCAGATCACCAGACTGGGCCACAGCAACAGCAACAGCTGGCAGGGGATGGAATATATATATATATATATTAACAAAATAAAAATATTTCTAACCAGGCAGTCATGGACTTTTTGCAGAATTGCATTTTTCTTCTGCTCATTTAAAACGAGACGATCGAGTTCAATCTTCCTTAGGCTGGTGATGAAAGGGACACAGAGCGATCCTGTAATGGCTTCCAGATACTCAGCACTAAAGGAAAGATTTACGACAATAGTTTTGTGAAGAAAAAGTGGGATTTCTGCAAAATACATCAGCCATAATGTATGGGAAAGGGGACAATTCTACACACAGTCCGTTCCTGCAATTTGCAGATAGTATTATTAATATCTGTCCAGGGTTGTTGCAAAAATGATAATAAAATAATGTATGTAGAGCACTCTGAATGCTTCAGACAGTCTATACAGTTGTGCATTAACATTATTCAGTTCAAATGCATGCATTCTTGATTACTAAAGCAATATTTTTCTGACATTCATGGAACAAATGTAAGAAAATTGACTGGAAAAAAACACTGGCATTTGGGGGATTTATCATATCTAATTTTCATACTTCTATTAAAAATGAAGTATAAAATTAGAACTAAGATGTGCTTTTCTCTTTATCTGGGTGAACCGCTGGGGGTCTTTCTTTGAAGCAATAACTCAATACTTTCAGCAACTGATGCCAGTCAAAATATGAACATCAACAAAATATTTATTTCCAAAGTCCTTGGCAGACTTGGCACAGCTTGATAAAGTTACAACACAAACAGTCAATTTGGGAAACCATAGAGATGTTCTTTCTTTCCCTTTTCTTCAATTACTGAGGTAACCTTTCTCCAATCCTGGGATCTTTCACCCTAACCCTGAGCTGCTATGGTTAGAAAGAACAGGTCTTCCCCTATCTAAGCACAAGGTTAGCTTTGGAGATGAAGCAATGCTCAATAGTACTCAATAACCATTTCTCTCTATTTCTCAATAAGCTTCTCTTTATCTCTCTATCTATCTGTAACTCAATCAGTTTCTCTGTCTAAATAACCCAATAACTCAATTGTACTCACAATGGCCTTTCAGAGCTACCTGTCTGACCAACAGCACATCTGAGGCTTTTTTCTCTACTGCAGGAGGCAGGGGAGATTCCAAAATGGAGATCTCAACCCCAGGAAAAAGGGCGGACTCTTAACCAAAGAGATACTTTCTAAACCAATAACTGCAGAGGGCCTGTAGCCTGGCTTTTCAGACTCTGATACTGTATAACTTCCAGGGTGCTGCTGGGTCTGTAGCAACCCTGGGGAAATCCAAAGGAATGCTATCCCATGCAGCTAAAAGGCAACATAAACCATGCTCCTGGAGCAAAAGGAATCACTTACGGAAGCAGTGCTAACAAGTAGGGAGGCGTGGATGTATTAGAGATGGTCCAGTATTTCCAAGCCATACAACTGATCTGCAAATAAGATATTTAAAAATCATTTAATATAATCACCATCTCTTAAACACCAGAAATAATAGCCTATTTTAAGGGGAAAAGAAGGGGAAGGGGAAAAGAAGAAAAGGAAATGTGGCAGCATTTTTAAGACTAACTGGTTCTTATTTTTGCACAAGTTTTCATAGTTATAAACATATGTCTTTGGATGCTGTAAGTGGATTTATGGCCCTCTCTCCAGGTGTTTTGGACTTCAACTCCCACCATTCCTCACAGCCTCAGGCCCTTTCCTTTTCCCCCTCAGCTGCTTAAGTTGAAGTCCAAAACACCTGGAGGGAGGGCCCAAGTTTGCCCAAGCCTGGTTTAGATCCATCCATAAATGCAGTTGTTCCCTGAAGTGAAAGGATTGGCCACCTGGGGGAGCTGTGGTTCATATCAACGAAAGCTCATGTGAAAATAAAAACCAATTTGTCTTAAAGGCACCGACACATTTTCTTTTCTTTTACCCCCTCCCTTTCTTCCCTCCTTGTCATGTAAGATAACATGATAACATGACTACTTCTTTGAAAAGAGGTCCATTATTTTAAATAAATCAGATTTCTAAAAAGGGAAATACTTTATTTAGGAGGCCCAGGCAGTCTTCTAAAGGAAACCAGATGTGGAGCAGTGCAGTAGGGAGAATGAACTTTTATCTACTGACACATACTTGACTTTACACCAGTGGTTCTCAACCTGGGGTCCCCAGATATTTTTTTTGCTTTCAACTCCCAGAAATCCCAGCCAGTTTACCAGCTGTTAGGATTTCTGGGAGTTGAAGGCCAAAAACATCTGGGGACCCCAGGTTGAGAACCACTGCTTTACACCAAATATTCTTGTACTGAATGATTTTTTTATGTCAGGAGCAACTTGGGAAACTGCAAGTCGCTTCTGGTGTGAGAGAATTGGCTGTCTGAAAAAATGCTGCCCAGGGGATGTCCGGATGTTTTACCTTTCATTGTGTAATTCATGTATGATGTGTGTTTAAATGTAATTTTATGTGATAGGATTGTGATTGTAATAGAATTGTATTGCCAGGATGTAGTTTGACACAGAAGGGTTAAAACAGTGAAGTTTTAAGTTTTAAGTAACAAGCTGTGAGAATGTGACCCTGAGTTCTTGCTCTGTGAAAGATTAGGGAGTACCAGAGATAAACTTCCTTCCAGCTGCAGTTTGTATTAGTTACTATCTCTTTCGGTTTGTGTTTCTTCACATCTGTCCGCTGATGGTGTATGTTGTCTATTTTGAGCTGCTTAAGTAAAGCTGAAAACCTGCTTTTACCGGAGACTCCAGAGTCCATTATCCTGAGCTTCTGCGATACTCTGCTACACGCTAACATTACCATCCTGTGGGAGGCTTCCCTCATATCCCCGCACGAGAAGCTAGTGCTGACAGACAGGAGCTCACCCCACTCCATAGTTTCAAACTGGTGACCTTTTGGTCAGCAGTCCTGTCGGCACAAGGGTTTAACCCATTGCGCCACCAGCACTGAATGATTATACCTCCGCTAGAAATATGAGGAATCAGAACCCAGCGATCTATTGGCTATGGGGCTGAGGCTGTTAGGAAATGTGGGAGCTGAAGTCCACAACACCTGGAGGGAGGGCCATAAACCCACTTACAGCATCCAAAGACATGTGGAGGACCATAAACCTACTTACAGCATTCAATGACAAAGATACTTACAGCGTCCAAAGACAGGAATTATGGAAGCTGACATCTAAAATTCTTGGAAGGCCCAAATTTATGCATGTCTGGTATAAAGGCATTTATCCATTGTTAAAATGTCAAGAGTCAACATCCCAGGCAGGACCTCTTGCCAACAAAATAGAAGAGAGACATGGTGCCATTTTGTGTATTACCTGATATGGTGAAAGCAGGTGGAGATTCTTTTCAAAATATTTGAAAACATTGACAAAGGTGATGGCGCTCATTCTGTCGATTTGCCAGCATGTTATTCCTTTCACCATTTGGTCAATGCTGAATGGAAGAAGAAGACGGAGGAGGAGGAAAGATATGCAGTAAATATTTACAGGATTAACATCCAAGCATTCAAAATACCTTTTATTTCTCCAGATGTTTTTGACTTATTTATTTATTTACAAGATTTCTACCCCGCCCTTCTCAACCTCTGAGGAGGGATTCAGAGAGGCTAACACTAGCAACAATTCAATGCTGCAATATCACAAAAACAACAATATAAAACCATAAAAACACAATAGATTAAAACAACATTAATTACACAAGCATAGCCGTTTCCATTATCATAACAAACATCCAATTCAATGTCCAAAGTGCTGTTGTGCCTGCTAGCCAAAAGCCTGGTGCCAAAACCACGATTTCAGTTTTTTTCCTAAAGGAAAGGAGGGGAGACACCGATCTAATCTCGCTGGAGAGTGAATTCCCCAAGCAGGGGGCCACCACTGAGAAGGCCCTGTCCCTCATCCCCACCAGGTGCATTTTCAAGGCCGGTGGGACCGAGAGAAGGCCCTCTCCAGTGGATCTTAAACTACGAGGTGGAATGTAGAGGGAGATACGTTCAGACAAGTAAGCTGGGCTGAAGTTGTATAGGGCTTTAGCTCCCATAAGCCCCAACCAGCTTGACCAATAATCAGGAATTTTAGGAGCTGAAGGCTGAAAACTCAGGGAGGAACAAAGTTCAGAAACCAATCAGGAGTCTGGCATTGCTTTATGTGGGTAAATTCTGAGAATCTGAACCACTATTAAAAGAACAAGGAATGGATGTGCTATTTGACCACCAAACAAAGATTTAAATATATAGCATTCGACATCAAATCATCGCACATACCTTAGGAGTTCAGAAAGAGTTGTCTTCTTTGATAATAATTCATATAGAAATAAGGCCTGAAATGAAATTAATATAGTAGTCTGCATGTGTAGGTATGCATATACCGCAAGGTAAAGGTAAAGGTTTGCCCTTGACATCAAGTCTAGTCGTGTCCACCTCTGAGGGGTGGTGCTCATCTCTATTTTCTAAGCCAAAAAAACTGGTGTTGTCCATAGACACATCCAAGATCATGTGGCCGGCCTGACTGCATGGAGCCGTTACCATCCCGCTGAAGCGGTACCTATTGATCTACTCACATTTGTATGTTTTCGAACTGCTAGGTTGGCAGAAGCTGGGGCTAATAGCGGGAGCTCACCCTGCTCCCCAGATTCGAACCGACAACCTTTTGGTCAGCAAGTTCAGCAGCTCAGCTGTTTAACCCGCTGCACCACCATGTCTGCATGGAGTGCTGTTACCATCCCGCTGAAGCGGTACCTATTGATCTACTCACATTTGTATGTTTTCAAACTGCTAGGTTGGCAGAAGCTGGGGCTAATAGCGCGAACTCACCCCGCTCCCCAGATTCAAACCGACAACCTTTTGGTCAGCAAGTTCAGCAGCTCAGCTGTTTAACCCGCTGCACCACCATGTCTGCATGGAGCGCCGTTACCATCCCGCTGAAGCGGTACCTATTGATCTACTCACATTTGTATGTTTTTGAACTGCTAGGTTGGCAGAAGCTGGGGCTAATAGTGGGAGCTCACCCCGCTCCCCAGATTCGAACCGACAACCTTTTGGCCAGCAAGTTCCGCAGCTCAGATGTTTAACCCACTGCACCACCATGTCTGCATGGAGCACTGTTACCATTCTGCTGAAGTGGTACCTATTGATCTACTCACATTTGTATGTTTTTGAACTGCTAGGTTGGCAGAAGCTGGGGTTAATAGCGGGAGCTCAGCCCGCTCCCCAGATTTGAATCAACAACTTTTTGGTCAGCAAGTTCAGCAGCTCAGCTGTTTAACCCGCTGCACCACCAGGGACTCCTTTATCTACCCAACGAATGTTATGATTCTGTGACTCTCTTATCCACTGTGTCAACAAAGATCCAGCCAGACCTTATTTACCTGACTCGGCCTCAGTTCCTTTTCTTTTACTAGGGAAGAGTTGAATCCCTCTTCCGCCCACAAATCAAAAAGTGACAGCTCCTTAAAAAAGGGTCCTTGCACATCTGCCAACACGGATGATAGTTCTGTGGATGCAATAATCTACAGGAGGGAAGAACACCACAGTGTTACATCTATCATCTCTCTATCCATCCATTCATCCTTCACTGCATATCTGGATTTGTCTATAAACAATGAATTTGTGCAAAGGCCAAAGGCAGTGATGAATAATATATTTATTTAAAAATACACTTCAAATCATCGAATCCTAGAGTTGGAAGAGACCTCGTGGGCTATCCAGTCCAACCCCTTTCTGCCAAGAAGCAGGAATATTGCATTCAATGCACCCCTGACAGATGGCCATCCAGCCTCTGTTTCAAAGCCTCCATAGAAGGAGTCTCCACCATACTCCGGGGCAGAGAGTTCCACTGCTGAACAGCTTTCACAGTTAAGAAGTTCTTCCTAATGTTTAGGTGGAATCTCCTTTCCTGTAGTTTGGAGCCATTGTTCCGCGTCCTAGTCTCCAAGATACCAGAAAGGAAGCCTGCTCCCTCCTCCATGTGACTTCCCTTCACATATTTATCCATGGCTGGATGGCCATCTGTCAGGGGTGCTTTGAATGCAATATTCCTGCTTCTTGCCATGGGCTGCACTGGATGGCCCATGAGGTCTCTTCCAACTCTATGATCTATATAAATTCCAACTCTATGATCTATATAGTTCTATGATCTATATAAATAAAAATGTAATGTTCGTTTGTGGGATTAACATAACTCAAAAACCACTGGACGAATTGACACCAAATTTGGACACAAGACACTTATCAGGCCAATGAGTGACCATCACTTATTTAAAAAACTGAGAAACACAGCAGAAGAGACTTAAAAAGCCAAAAAAGCAAAAAGACACTACAATGCATGCGCAATATATATATATACACACACACACGTATATACACATATACACAAATATATACATACACACATATATACACACACAAAACACATATACACAAACTGGGCCACAGCAACACGTGGCAGGGGACAGCTAGTGATCAATGAATAAGCTTTGCAAGAGGCCTTTCAATCTTGAGGCTGTAGAAAAGGTGGGACGCTGTCAAACAATGGCATGATAGGAAAAGAGGTTTGGGCATTGAGAAACCTCCAGACAGCAGGATTGGGATTTCGGATGCTCACTTACCTTGCGGAGGATGCCTTGGTGTTGGGCTGGAGACAAATCGGAGGCTCGTTCAGCTAATGCTCCTCTGAGTAACTGAGACAGCTCTTTGGGGCTCATCCTGTGGAATGACTGAGTGCTTATCCCAGTCACCAAAGCACCCATCTGGCTGATATTATGGAGTGAGAGTATCTGCATGCGAGCAGATGACATATAAGATAGGAATGGCATATGAGCAGCAAGTGGCTAATGTGTCAGACAATAACACTTTTGCCCAATGTCTTTAGCCTCCTCCCTGAACCCTTTAATTTTTCCCATCCAATCCCCAAAGTAGGCTTTACATAGCTACAAGTAAACATCTGGCCATTTCTTTCTGTGTGATGAGTGCACTCCACTCATATCACTGAACCACCAGTTTTTCCAGTCTTTCCAATGTGAGGAAATGTTGTCCAAATCTCAGCCATAAAACTCTTTGGATGACTCTCTCTCAGCCCAACTTATCCATCAATATAAAAATAGTGAGAAGTATGATCTTGTGCTTGTTAAAGGAAAGGCAAGATAAAAATGTAATAGTAATATTCATTGTAATTATTTATCCATCAGAGTCTATCACCTCAGCAAGCAAGAGTCCAAAAGTGGCAGGCTCAAACCCAGAACCTCAATCAATGGCTGATACCAAATGAGAGACTCCCTCCTGGGCACACAGAAGACTGGGCAACTTCGAAGGCACTGAACAAGCTGCATGTGGGACCACGAGATGCAGAGCCAACCTTAAAAAATGGGGCTACAAAGTGGAATCCATGGCATGCAAGAGCAGAGAAGAGCAAACCACAGACCACCTACTGCAATGCAACCTGAGCCCTGCCACATGCACAATGGAGGACCTTCTTGCAGAAACACCAGAGGCACTCCAAGTGGCCAGATACTGGTCAAAGGACATTTAATAGAATACCAAGTCTGCAAACTTTGTGTTTTGTTTGTTTGTTTGTCTGTTTTTAATGCAATACAACTGTTTTGGTTCGCTCCTGACACGATAAATAAATAAATCAGAGTCTATGGATAGTTTCCATGCTGGATTTTCAAACATGCTCAAACTATTGTCGAAGGCTTTCATGGCTGGAATCACTAGGTTGTTGTGAGTTTTCTGGGCTGTATGGCCATGTTCCAGAAGCATTTTCTCCTGACGTTTCGCCTCCATCTATGGCAGGCATCCTCAAAGGTTGTGAGGTCTGCTGGAAATTAGTACTCTTGACTGAAGTAGAGTGAATGTTTCAAGGTGGCCAATTGAAACATCAACATCAGACAGGAAACAATCAAGGCCAGCTAACACCTCCCAATAAAGGATTCCCCCTGGCAGGAAGCAGCCATGCCATTCAGTGCTAATCAAGGTGGCCAATTGCAACATTCAGACTTGCCTCAAGCAGACATGAGTTTTTTCTCCCACCCTGGACATTATTCCACAGATATATAAACCCCATTTTCCTAGTTTCCAACAGACCTCAAAACCCCTGAGAATGCCTGCCATAGATGCAGGCAAAACGTCAGGAGAGAATGCTTCTGGAACAAGGTCATATAGCCCAGAAAACTCACAACAACCCATGTTTTGCACAGCATGTGTTGCATCTGGAGTAGTTTCTTCCCAATTCAAACTAAAACTGTTGGATGTTTCTGTGTATCATACATCAAAGACTTCTGGGATACTTGTATTCCACATTATGTTTTTGTTTGTTTGTTAATGCAAGAGAGAAAGCTAAGGAAAGTCAATCTAAACATGTAGTCAAGATGATATAGTTAATAATATGATTCCACTGCAAATGCAAGAAAATCACAGTATCTATCTGTGCAAATGTTCTGAATCCATCTCCTTGGAGCCTGCAACCTGTAATAGTAGCCTCGAGCAGTTATTCATGATTGCAGAGCTACGGTGAGGCTTTTTGTGAACCATGTTTTGGAGGAATTACTGTGTTCAAAGCTAGATTTGTAGCTCAAAACCCTGCTTTTATTTTAAACAGTTTTATTTGTGGTATTAATATCTAGCTTTTTCCTCAAAGGAGTTCTGCGCAGGAACCCTGCTGAGCCATCCCTTTATATCTTTATAATGAAATGAATGTGTTTAGGTTTATAGAGAGTGAATGGCCCAAGCTTACCTGAAGCATACTGCCTAATCTCTCCTGGAAAAGTTACTTTTTTTTTTACTAAAGCTTTTGAAATCCCCTAGCTAAAGCCAGAATGTGATTGGAATCCTAAATAAGTATCTCTTCCCATTATTCAGGTACAACCTGTTAACTTTCTTTTTTTGTAAAAGCAATCTATATAAATAAAAATGTAATGTTCGTTTGTGGGATTAACATAACTCAAAAACCACTGGACGAATTGACACCAAATGTGTACAGCGTAACCTAACAAGCCAATGTATGTCCTACACTCAAACATTTTTGATTTTTTCATTTGGGAGTTGTAGTTGCTGGGATTTATAGTTTACCTACAATCAAAGAGCATTCTGAACTCCACTAACAATGGAATTGAACCAGATGGACTCCCATAAACAACAGAGAACACTAGAAGGGTTTGGTGGGGATTGACCTTGACTTTGGGAGTTGTAGTTCACCTACATCCAGAGAGCACTGTGGACTCAAACAATGCTGGATCTGGACCAAACTCAGCATGAATACTCCATATGCCCAAATGTGAACACTGATGGAGTTTAGGGAAAATAGACCTTGACATTTGGGAGTTGTAGTTGCTGGGATTTATAGTTCTCTTACAATCAATGAGCATTCCGGACTCCACCAACGATAGAACTGGCCAACCTTCCCACACAGAACCCCCATGACCAACAGAAAATACTTAAGGCCATCCAGTCCAACTTCACCAGGGCAAGAAAACGTAATTAAAACCCTCCTGACAAAGAGTCATCCAGCCATAGATACAGTTAGATATATATGATTCACACGCACACACAGATATAGTATCATAGATTTGAAAGGGACCCCTAAAGAAGGACAATTATATGTTGCATGTTCTAGAGTAGGTAAACAGACCGTACAAAAAGAATCTGTGAACCCCACCTCCTTCAAGATGAGCTGAACCAGCTCAACTGGGCTCTACAGGCCAATGGATATTCCACCTCAGACATCAGAAGAGCTGCAAGACCAAGAACAAGCTACGAGAGTAAAGATGAAGATCCACCTCGAGGAAAAGTGTTCTTGCCATACATCAAGGGAACCACTGACTGCATAGGGAAACTGATGAGGAAACACAACATACAAACCACTTACAGACCCACCAAGAAAATCCAACAAATGCTATGTTCAGCAAAGGACAAGAGGGACCTCTCACCTCTGCAGGAGTCTACCGTATACCATGCAGCTGTGGACAAGTCTACATAGGGACCACCAAACGCAGCATTGCCCAAACACGAATCAAGGAACATGAAAGGCACTGCAGACTACTTCAACCAGAGAAGTCAGCCATAGCAGAGCACCTGATGAACCAACCTGGACACAGCATATTATTTGAGAACACAAAAATGCTGGACCACTCTCACAACCACCATGTCAGACTACACAGAGAAGCCATTGAAATACACAAACATGTGGACAATTTCAACAGAAAGGAGGAAACCATGAAAATGAACAAGATCTGGCTACCAGTATTAAAAAATTCTAAAATTGCAACAGCAAAAACAGCAGAGAGGAAACAGGCAGGGACATCTAATTACCTTTCAAGAAGAGTTTGCTCCAGGCACAGTCAGCCCATTATATGCTAATCAAGGTGGTCAGTTGAAATATTCACACCTAGCCCAACTGACAAAAGTCCTTTGTCTCACCCTGGTCATTCCACAGATATATAAACCCTTTTTCCCAGTTCCAACAGACTTCACCTCTGAGGATGCTTGCCATAGATGCAGGCGAAACGTCAGGAGAAATGCCTCTAGAACATGGCCATATAGCCCGAAAAAACCCACAAAAACTTAAACTAGACAATCTCCACATCAACACTGACAAAGAAACAGCAAGAAATACCGTTTACCCACAAGCATCAAGACATTACATATATTAGAAACTAACACTTTTTCTTTATTTTATTTTCTAGATCACCAGACTGAGCCACAGCAACGCGTGGCAGGGGATAGCTAGTCTATATAAATACAAATCTAATGTTTGTTTGTTTGTGAGATTAACATAACTCTAAAACCACTGGACAAATAGACACTGTACAGAAGTTGATTATAAATTGTATGATTTTAACTGTATTTGTGTTTAGATTGGCTGCACTAATGCTGGAGCGGCCTAACTGAGAGGAGTGCGTTGCCATGGAGACGATGTAGGCTAGAGAGAGAAGTGGGAGGAGCTTAGAGGGGAGAGTTTGAAAAACGACAGTTAATGTTCAGTTAGGTTTTAGGTTCCGAGGAGTGAGGAGTTAGGGTTTAGCAGTGAGGAGTTAGAGTGAGGAGTTGAGAGAGAAGGAGAGGAAAAGGTGGCTGAGTGACTTGTGAAGCAAAGTTTCGAGGCTTTGGAAAGCCGGGTCTGGCTATTGAAAGTTTCTCTGGCTAGGGTAGCCGAAAGGGGGAAACATAGCCGGAATTCTTTAGTCCAAGGAGAGGCTAAAGAATAGCTTATTTAGAATTTGATCTAGGAAGGATCAAATAAGGGAAATATCCCTGTATTGATACTTTGTCTGAAGCAAGCGCTCTACGTCAGGAAGATACTGTGTTACTTTAAAGAATGAACTGTTAAACTTACAAGCATTGTTCTAAGTTCTATAAGAAAAGTTACAACTTGCAACCACACGCTTTGTGCTCAATAAACTTGTTAACTTTTGTTTGAAGACTGCCTCACCTCCATCAATTCTGCGTACAGTGTGCCATTTCTCACAATATTATAACTTACCTCACGTGGTGGCAGAAACGCAGGGGAAAGTGACCAAATAGATATACATTCTTATCTCCAGTCACGCTACAATACATACCGTTTAATTACTACTAAGTTATTACTATCTTAATAAAAGAAGAGGTGCGATTGAACAGCCTCCCTTCTAACTTGATGGTAAATTTGGTTCCTTTCAAATTGGTAGCAACAATAATCATCCCTAGGCTCCCCTGCTCCTGCGCAGACACGAAATTTGGACACAATGCACCTATCAGGCCAACGAGTGACCATCACTTATAAAAACACTGACAAACACAGTGGAAGGGATTTAAAAAGCCAAAAAAAGCAAAAAGATGCTACAATGCATGTGTAAAATGACTCCCCCTGGCAAACAAAACACACAATAGCATAGCCACACTCTCTTTCAGACTACAGTTCCCAGCATCCCCTAGACCAGGGGAAGAGGATGATCCAAATGCACTGCTTCCAAGATGCAAACTTTCTCCTCCTTGGATTTCTTTGAGAGCATCCTAATCCTTGCATATTTCCAACTTCTTATTTCTAGACTGCAACTCCCAGTAATCCACCAGATAGAGAGATTACATAGAGATAGGTAAGTATGCAGATGTATGTAGATTTATCAGGTGGACTGCTGGGAGTTGCAGATAGGTAGAGAAGGAAGAAAGGGGAGAAAGAGGAAGGGAAAGAAAAGAGGGGAGGAAGGGAAGAGGAAGAGAAGGAAGGAAGGAAGGAAGGAAGGAAGGAAGGAAGGAAGGAGAGAAAGAAAGAAAAACAGAAAGAAAGAGAGAGAGAGAGAGAGAGAGAGAGAGAGAGAAAGAAAGAAAGAAAGAAAGAAAGAAGGAGAGCAAGAGGGAGGAAAAGTTGGCCACAGCAACGCATGGCGGGTACAGCTAGTCACATGTAAAAAGTTTAAATAATATGGTTTACTTCAGATCCTATATGGAACCAACTGCTTCACATTTTGTAGATTTGGTTAAAATGGGTTTGTTGAACCCCATTGTATGAGCCCAATATTAACATTCCCTTTGCAAATGTACCAATTTACCTTTTCATACATCAGATATTTCCTGGATAAAATCATGATTTGGCTTCTCGCCCATCCTGAAACCTGGTTTAATGTTGGGATCGCGTTGTGCACAGCCTCCGGGGAGAGAGATTCCAGCTGGCTGAGACTCAGTCCGACCACCGCGTCCGAGAGGGAACCAAGGGACTCATTCAACGTCTGGTTTTGCAGGGCAAGGTCAAGCAGCTGGGATTTGAGCTGAAACCAGTTAGAGAAAGGGCTTTGAAGAGCTGACAATGAAATGCTAAAAGGGGTTCAGGGACACAATTTGAAAGGCAGGATGCTCTGGGGAGGGGGGGTGGCATATTTGTGTGTGCATGCTTATATATGAATGGTCAAGACACTATAGCATAAGACAATAACAATGACGGATCTCCAACATCCTATTTACACCCCAGGATGCTACACACCCCAAGCTTGCCTTTTCATCCCCATCAGAACAGTTTTGATGTGCTGCATATCAGGATACTAGCAAATTATCCTGATAATTTGCTAGTATCCTAGCAAATTATCATAGTCAGATGGAAAGACTCCCCACCCCTTGGGGTTCTATCATAACGGTGTGTCTTAATGTGCCCTGTAACTGGGAGAATGCTGGAGACACCTGTCTTCAGTGCTTCCATCTACAGTGGCTCACAAATGCCCTCATAGAATCATGGAAACTTAGAGTTGGAAAGGACCTGTGGACCATCCAGCCCAACCCTCTTCCAAGAAGCAGGAAAATTGCATTCAAAACACCCTTGACAGACTGCCATTTGTTTAAAAGGCTCCAAAGAAGGTGCCTCCACCACACTCCGGGGCAGAGAGTTCCACTGCTGAACAGCTCTCACAGTTAGGAAGTTATTCCTAATGTTCAGGTGGAATCTCCTTTCCTGTAGCTGAAGCCATTGTTCTGCATCCTAGTCTCCAGGGCAGCAGAAGACAAGCCTGCTCCCATCTCCCTATGACTTCCCTTCACATCTTTATCCATGGCCCTCATCATGTCTCCTCTCAGCCTTCTCTTCTGCAGGCTAAACATGCTCAACTCTTTAAGCCGCTCCTCATAGGGCTTATTCTCCAGCCCCTTGATCATTTTAGTCAGCCTCCTCTGGACACATCCCAGCTTGTCAACACCTCCCTTCAATTGCGGAGCCCAGAATTGGACCCCGCAATTCTGGGGTCCAATTCCAGGTGTGTTCTGACGAAGACAAAATAGAGGGGTAGCACGACTTCCCTGGATCTAGACTCTAGACTCCTATTTATGCAGGCCAATATCCCATTGGCTTTTTAAGCTGCTGCATGACATTGTTGGCTCATGTTTAACTTGTTGTCCACAAGGACTCCTTTTTCACACGTACTGCTGTCAAATCAGGCATCGTCCCCCATTCTGTATATTTGCATTTCATTTCTTTTGCCTAAGTGGATTATCTTGCATTTGTCCCTGTTGAACTTCATTTGTTAGTTTTGGCCAATCATCTCTCTAGTCTGTTAAGATTGTTTTGAATGCTACTCCTGTCTTCTGGAGTATTGGCTATCCCAATTTGGTGTCCTCAGCTAACTTTATGATCATCTAAGTCATTAATAAAGATGTTGAGCAGAATGGGTCCAGGACAGAACCCTGCTTATGGCACTCCAGTCGTCACTTCTTTCCAGGATGAAGAGGAAGTATTGTCCCCCCCCCCACCAAATGAGCTGACGGGATGGGGGTGGGGGGCTCCAGTACCCCCATTATCTCTCTACCAGACAAACATGACATGCCAGTGCTAGTAAGAGTGAACTCTACACCAACCTTCTGAATGTCAGCCTGGGACCCTCTTAGGTGATTGCATTTAATCATCTGATGAAGTAAAACCCGAGCCACACTGGCATCCATCTGTTCCAGGTCATTGTAAAAACAAACCAACAAGCCCAATCTGTGTGGGAGAATGAAGAAGTCATTTGTTTTTATTCAGCATCAGCAACGACAATAATGCATTTTGTTCTTTACACATCTCTTTTAACAACTCGAGGTGGGGTACAACAATATCAAAACTTAATTGGAGTTTCTGAACTTGATACAGGGGTAGACCAATGTACAGTGCATTACACAAGTTCAACTTTTAGCATCTTTATTTACACCATGCCGATTTCCCAAGGTAGGAGATAAAAATGATTTACAAATAAAAATGTCTAGAATTCCAAAGATTATACATCACTTACTTAGTTACATACATAATGTGTCCTGGTCCTAACCTCCCACTCTCCAAACTTACCTTAAGAGCCAGCAGGTACACTAAACAATGTAATTGTGTTGTCAAAGGCTTTCATGGCCGGAATCACTGGGTTGGTATGAGCTTTCCAGGCTATATGGCCATGTTCCAGAAGCATTTCACCCACATCTATGACAGGCAACCTCAGAGGTTGTGAGGTCTGTTGGAAACTGGGCAAGTGAGATTTATATATCTGTGGAATAATGTTCAGGGTGGAAGAAAGAACTCTTGTCTGCTTGAGACAAGTGTAAATGTTGCAACTGGCTGGTTTGATTAGCACTGAATGGCCTTGCAGTTTCAAAGCCTGGCTGATTCCTCCCAACAAAGGATTACCCCAGGCAGGAAGTAGCGAGGCTTTGAAGCTGCAGGGCCATTTACTGCTAATTGCAACATTCACACTTGCCTCGAACAGACAAGAGTTCTTTCTCTCACCCTGGATATCATTCCTGTTGTGGCTCAACCTGAGTATGGACTTTCTGAGCCTGAGTTTCCTCTTTCTGAGCCTGAGTTTCCTCTTTCTGAGCCTGAGTTTCCTCAGGAGAAGGAGGATGATGGGTTAAAGATTTCTGCATATGTCCCTGTTGTTGAGGCAGACAGTGTTGATTTTGAAGCACCTGAGTTTCCCAGGGAAAGGAATGTTGTTTTAGAAGACAGTCATGATTTGGATTCACAGCTGCAGGTGGAGGAGTCGACTGGTCCTTCTGTGAACTCAGGGCCTATCGATTCCCAGGCACAAGATAATGAGGGATCAGGCCTTGAAAGTAATGAGGATCTGTGTAGGAAGGATCGCTTGCAATTAAGATTACGGCTGAGGCACCCGGCTTGCAAACAAGCGGGAACTTCGGGGGCAACGTAATGCTATAATGCTAGCAAAACATAGTTAATGATCTGTTCAAAGACAACTCTTTGTCAGAGTCGCTCACACCCAGTGAACTTCCTTGAAATCTCCTCGGCTTTCAGGGGAAAGCTGTGAGCTCTCTGGGACTTTGCTTTTGGGTCTTCATTCCTGGGACTTTGTCATGATGCCATGGATTCTGGTTTGACCAATGCTTGTGGATTATATTCATGTTATTTTCTTTTGGACCTTGGAAGCTTTGTCTTGCATTTAAGTTTTGACTTTTGAACTTCAGCAACCTATGTTTTGATTTTACCTTTCTTCAACAAACTACAAACCCTACAGCCCTGGTGTGTGGTGTTGTTCTGAGCAAGGTGAATCTATCCTGAGTTGCAACAATTCCACAGATATATAAACCTCACTTGCCTAGTTTCCAACAGACCTCACAACCTCTGAGAATGTCTGCCACAGATGTGGGCAAAACGTCAGGAGACAATGCTTCTGGAACATGGCCATACAGCTTAGAAAACTCACAGCAACTCAATGTAATTGTGTTCAGACAGCAACTGGGCTACAAGATGATGGCATTTCAATTGTTGTAGACTTACTCACTGACAGGATGGGCTGGAAACATATTGTCCTGTACCTTCTGAACAAGACCTGTATTGCTCAGTGCTACTCCTGCTTATTTTGGAAAGTTTAGGGAGATATTCCTACCAACTACAGCTGTGAAGATGTTTGGGCTGAAAGAAGGCCCTCTTCCGACGATATCAAGGCGTGACAGGCCCATAGCTAAAAATATTCCCTCATTAATACAATTGTAGGAGCCCCTGGGGGCGCAGTAGGTTAAACCCCTGTGCCAGCGGGACTGAAGACCGACAGGTTGCAGGTTCGAATCCGGGGAGAGGCGGATGAGCTCCCTCTATCAGCTCCAGCTCCTCATGCGGGGACATGAGAGAAGCCTCCCACAAGGATGATAAAAACATCAAAAATCATCTGGGCGTCCCCTGGGCAACGTCCTTGCAGATGGCCAATTATCTCATACCAGGAGCGACTTGCAGTTTCTGAAGTCTCTCCTGACACGACCAAAAAAAATACAATTGTATTTATTGCACAAGTGGTATAGTGTACAACAGATTAGGAGACTAATGGTGCAATTATGTACACTGCTGTTTGGGAACAAATTCCACTGAATATCAACAGAACTAATTTGTAAGTAGATGTGCATTGAATCAGAGTAACATCGGAAAACCTCCCCAGTTTGACTTTCTTCTTTGCCATGAATTCATTCATTGGTTCCAGCACCTCCTCCAGGAATAAAGTAAGAATAATAATGCTGTCCTTCCTTTCCAGAATTGTTTTGAGGATCGGGATAATAAAATGCTTGAAATACACTTAGTGCTATACATGCTTTGTGTTATACACGGTTATAGCAAATTATTCTGAGCCATATTACACATCCAGAAATAACACAATCCTTTTGGGAGTGCCCATTATCAGACTGGAAGATGGAATGGGGTTGCTTGAGCACTCTCCAAAAATAGAGCCATGCCTTCATTAGCAGTGTTTAAAGGTAGTAGAGGTAAAGGTTTTCCCCTTCATTAAGTCCAGTCGTGTCCGACTCTGGTGTGGTGCTCTTCTCCATTTCTAAGCCGAAGAGCTGGCGTTGTCTGTAGACACCTCCTAGGTCATGTGGCCAGCATGACTGCATGTGCCGTTACCTTCCCACCGGAGCGGTTCCTATTGACCTACTCACATTTGCATGTTCTCAAACTGTTTAAAACCTCTATTTTTTCTGATTTCCCAAACGCAACCAGCAAAAGTATTCTTAAAAATCTAATCTTGAATAATGGGACTTGCCTATAAAGTGTTGATGTGTTTTTCATATCAAATCCTGATGCGTTTATTCTTTCCAAGAAAGCCTGTGCGAGGTCCGGGGTGATATCATATACGGTATCGAGTTGCTTTGTTGCATTGTCATAACTGATGAACAATCTCATCTAATTGGCAAATAAAAGAGTGTGTTATTGGACAGGATCAGGATCAATTCAATTTAACTTACAAAATATGAATAGTAATGTAATATAGGAATTCAAATTAAATGATTATTCAAGTCACGAAACAGGTTGTTTGTCATAGGAGTTGTCAGTCGAAAGCACAACGAAGCGTCCACGTCTTTAATTCCTTGCGAAATATGGTTAGGGAGGGTGCCAGCTTAATCTCCCTAGGGAGGGAGTTCCAGAGATGGGGGGGGCACCCCCGAGAATGCCCTTTCCCTCGTCCCCACCAGCTGCGCCTGAGACGGGGGGCGGAGTGAGAAAAGAGTATCTCCGGAAGATCTTAAGGAACATGTATGCTCATAAAGGAGGAGGCGGTCGGTCACGCAGATAGGCCGTTTAGAGTTTTATAGGTAACCACCTGCACCTTGAATTGGGAATGGAAACTTATTGGCAGCCAGTGGAGCTGTTTAAACAAGAGGGTTGACCATTCCCTGTAACTTGCTTTGGTTAACAATCTGGCCACCGACCTTTGCACCAGCTTTCACCTACCTAGGGATTTTCTCCAAACTTGCTGATAGTGGCTCTATAGTGTTGGTCAGTCTGTTTTGGCTGCCTAACTATTGAAGCTGGAAACTTGAGAGCTATATTCGTACTTCACAGGGATGTAGAATCAGTGGATATTCAGGTGTTGGGCTTCACCTGAACATGCACTGATTAATATGGCTATTTCCTTTTTTGAGCAGTAGCTCTTACATTCTGGGAGTAGTCCTTTATGAAAGTAAATTCCCTGACTTCTGAGCATCATGTTCTATAGAGTATTATTTATTTATTTCTTGAGCTTTTTCCGAAATGCTAAAAGTGAAGAAGCCAATCTAATCTCCATAGGAAGGGCGTTCCATTGCTGAGGGGCCACCACTGAGAAGGCCCTATCTCTCGTCCACACCAGCCGTGCTTGTGATGATGGCAGGACCGAGAGCAGGGCCTCTCCAGACGATCTTAAGGTCCTCGAAGGTTCATAAGGAGAGATGCGTTTGGACAGGTAAGTTGGGCCAGAACCGTTTAGGGCTTTATAGGCTAAGGCCAGCACTTTGAATTGTGCCCGGTAGCAGACTGGCAGCCAGTGGAGCTGGCGCAACAGGGGGGTTGTATGCTCCCTAAGAGCCGCTCCAGTTAGCAACCTGGCTGCCATCCGTTGGACCAACTGAAGCTTCAAAGGCAACCCCATGTAGAGAGTGTTGCAGTAGTCTATTATAGTTTCCACAAACAATATCCTATTGTATACTTCAATTGACTTACTTCATAAGGGTAAATTTTCCAAATTTCTTCTAGTGGGAGATGAACCATATATCTTCCCAGAATCCACAGGTTTTCTGCACTCACCCATGAAGTGACATTTTCTGAATTGGGAGGAAAGTCACGAAATGAAAACATTCATAAACAAGTATGGCAATACAATCTGAATTACGAACAAATATTAGTGAAATCTGCAAAGGCTGCAGTATGAAGCTTGACTAGAGGGTTGTATAGCCAGATAGTCATACCCTTTGTTGCTTTCCTGTCTCTGCCATTTCTTCTTTCCACCCTTCCACGGCCTTAGAAAATAAATATGATATGCTTTCTAAAAACTTCTGTTTGTTTACTAATTCTTAACTTACCACTGATATTGTGGGATTTTTGTAGGATTAGCCTCATCCAGTCATATAGAGCCCTCTGTGAATTTGCCGTTATCCTGTCATATAGATCTCTGAATACTGATGATCTGAAATACAACAGAAGAGGGAAGCTATGGACTAATGGATGGATTAGCCACATTTGGTTCTCTAGTCAGGATTCTTAAGAATCTACCAAAACAATTAATCCATATAAATAAAAATGTAGTGTTTGTTTGTGGGATTAACATAACTCAAAAACCACTGGACGAATTGCCACCAAATTTGGCCACAAGACACCTACTAACCCAAGGAGGGACCATCAGTTCACCTACAATCAAAGAGGATTCTGAACCCCACCAACGATGGAATTGAAGCAAACTTGGCACACAGAACTCCCATGACCCACAGAAAATACTGGAAGGGTTTGATGGGCATTGACCTTGAGTTTTGGAGTTGTAGTTCACCTACATCCCGAGAGCACTGTGGACTCAAACAATAATGGATCTGGACCAAATTTGGCATGACAATCAATATGCCCAAATGTGAACTCTGGTGGAGTTTGGGGAAAATAGACCTTGACATTTGGGAGTTGTAGTTGCTGGGATTTATAGTTCACCAACAATCAAAGAGCATTCAGAACCCCACCAACGATAGAATTGGGCCAAACTTCCCATACAGAACCCCCACAACCAACAGAAAATACTGTATTTTCTCATGGTCTTTGGCAACCCTTCTGACACCCCCTTGTGACCTCCCCCCAGGTTTCCCGACCCCTGGGTTGAGAAATGCTGCCTAAGGCCATCCAGTCCACCTCCCTTCACCAGGGCAAGAAAACATAATGAAAGCCCTCCTGACAAAGAGCCATCTAGATACAGATATAGATAGATAGATATGATTCACACATACATATGTATATGACAGATATAGTATCCTAGATTTGAAAGGGACCCCTAAAAAAGGACAATGATATGTTGCATGTTCCAGAGTAGGCAAACCAGGCAATCTCTACATCAACACTGACAAAGAGACAACAAGAAGCACTGTTTACCCACAAGCATCAAGAAATTGCATGTATTAGAAACCAACGCTTTCTCATTACTTTATTTTCCAGAGTGGGCCACAGCAATGCATGGCAGGGGACAGCTAGTGCTAAATAAAACTGAATATGATTTCAAAATCGTCACCACCTTTAGTCATCAACAGTAAGAAATTAGCTTACAGGTTTCGAAAAGCATCTTCCTGAAGGTCTTTGGGGAGGTTTGGGATAGTGTGGACTTGGAGGTACATAACGGAAGATGCCCGGAGGATCTGGCTCAGGATGTCCACACATTCTGCGGAGCTCAAACTCAGAAAGCACCTCTCCAAAGTAGTAAGGAATAAGGTTCGGTTTCCTCCTGGACTTTGGAAAATTCTCTCTCTTATCCCAGCCAGGTCGATAACAATATTTCCTAACTCCTGCTGACACAAGTTATATATGAATTAGCAATTGTATCATTTCTACAAGCTCCTTTTTATAACTACTAGATTCTATTTTCCATTGGACGCTTGGGTTTTAGAAGATTTTGGTTGACATCCTGCATTGTCAGATGTAACGACAATAACAGAGTTCTGTCGTTATTGTTGCTTTTGATTATGTCATCATCACCCCTCCAAAAACTCTTATGATTTAGGATGGCAGTGGCTTGGAAACCCTTCAAAACAGTGTATTATGGGGGTAACTTTTAGTAGTTAATACCATAAATGTGAATTGCCATCAGTTACAGAGTTGAAAATGAAGTAATTTAACTCACAAACAACATCTTTAAACTTACTCGCCCAACAACGCTCAGTACTCACATCAACACAATCACCATAAACAGCTTGCATTCTCTGATTAATCTCCTTTGGGGTGACACCTTCTGCTGTCAAGAATTCAATGACTGCACGTTGCTTAAATCACATTGACCGACCGTCTGCGCAGGGTTCCATACTTCGCACTTTAACAACACAACTGTTCAATGCTAAGGTTTCCCACCAAAATGGAACTGTAGAGGAGAGTCTACTGAACAAGCCAGTACCTGCCACCGTACTAGTACTGCCATCTGTTGAGGAGTTATGAAGTTGGAGGCATTACTTTTCATTCAACCCTCGTAAATATGTTACCGACTGGAATTTTAGATTATCTGTGATTCTGATTCTATTCAAGAATCTAGAAATCAGCAAAGTATCAATGGTTTTCAAGAAGATTTTTTTTTTATAATTGTGCTTTGATTATGCTTTTGATAGTGATTTAAATCAATTAGTCCATTTGAAACTGCTTTCACTATTGGAACCTTTGTACTTTGCAGCACTGTTGTAATACTCTCTATGAATAATACAGTATAGTGCATGGGATTATCTTCTCTTTCTTTTCCTTTTCAGAACAACCCTGTGAAACAGATTATACTGACAGATGAAGGCTGATCTAATGTTTCTAGAACGTTCCAAGGTAAAATGGGAATCTTGCTAGTACATGTTACATAGTAGGGGCGCATAACTTTTGGCCCTCCAGATCCTTAGGATTACAACTCCCACTATGTTTTCCCATTGGGTTTGTTGGTTTTGATCTCCAAAAAAGAGAATTAAAAAACCCATTGCTTCTGTTATACAGCATGCATTCAAAATAAATTAATTATGCAGCGAGTCACTTTGTGTCTCAATTAAGAGATAAAACTAGAAAATAATAATAATAACATCAACAATAATAATTTGGAGCTAATGATATTACTATTTGGCATATACTGCAACCAAAAACAAGTTACCAAATACTTCTGCTTGTTGCCAAAGAGATATTTCATTGCGGTCTGGAAACGTTGAAGATTCATTTGTTGAAACTCAGAGAGTAGCACTTTGGGGTTGTATAAGAGGTTATCCAGATAATTTTTAACAGAACTCTAAAAAAAAATAGGGTGGGAATGGGAGAACACAAAAGAAATTGCCATATTTATTTTCCTTCAATACAGGACAAGAAAACTTCCAAAATCACCAACTACCTTAGAGAACATCCACACTGCAGAATTATAGCAGTTTGACACCACTTTACCTGCCATGGCTCCATCCCATGGAATTCTGGAATCTGTAGTTTGTTGTGGCAACAGAGCTCTCTGACAGAGAAGAATAAATAACATGCAAGATGTTGTAGATCAGCCAGAGGCTGACAGTTTAACTGATGATTTGGGGAGGATTGTGGGCTTTTCTGTGGCACAAAGTGATGGGTTCTCAAGTCTGGGAAATTCAGATCTGGGACATGATGGTTCTCTCTGTGAGAAAACTGGCTTGGAAAATGCAAGGCTTCAAGACCAGTTAGAGGAGCCAGAAGGAGCAACAGCAGATAAGGAATCAAGTGAAGAGCTGAGTGATAAGGAGGGTTCCCAGGAGAAACCATCTACAGCTACAGAGATCAACAAAACTCTTCGGGCTGGAGGTTTAGCACAGCTGGTAAATCACCAGCAATTATAAGATCTATCAACCGAAAGGTTGCAAGTTCGAAGTCCCAGGTCAGTGTGAGCTATCGACTGTCAGCCTAGCTCATTGTTTACCTAAAAATTAGAAAATAGCTTTAGCTGTAATTAGAGAAATTAGGTACTTCTAAAAGCGGGGGAGGTGTTTTACAATGCCATAAAGCAGCGTTTCTCAACCTGGGGGTCGGGACCCCTGGGTGGATCGCGAGGTGGTGTCAGAGGGGTCGCCAAAGACTACCAGGAAAACACAGAATTTTCTGTTGGTCATGGGGGTTCTCTGTGGTAAGTTTGGCCCAATTCTGTTGTTGGTGGGGTTCAGAATGCTCCTTGATTCTAGGTAAACTATAAACCCCAGCAACTACAACTCCCAAATGACAAAATCAAGCCCCCACCCCACCAGTATTCAAATTTCGGTGTTTTGGGTATTTGTGCAAAATTTGGTCTAGTGAATAAAATACATCCTGCATATGTGATATTTACATTACGATTCCTAACAGTTATGAATCACAGTTATGAAGTAGCAACAAAAATAATTTTATGGTTGGGGGGTCACCACAACATGAGGAACTGTATTAAGGGGTCGCGGGATTAGGAAGGTTGAGAACCACTGCCATAAAGAAAGAAGATCAGAAAATGCTCGGTGACCAAAAGGAAGGAGGAAGTCCTGACGGCTCTTTGTCATAGAGGATAGAGCAACAGCATCCTCTGGACTCAAGCCCAACCTTCCATGGCACCAAAAACAGCTGGACATTGAGTCGAAACAAACCACCCCCTTCTGTTCTGTCTATGTATTGTCTATGCAAAGTGGCATTGAATGTTTGCATTGTATACATACTGTGATCCACCCTGAGTCCCCTTTGGGGTGAGAAGGGCGGAATATAAATAAAGTGTTATTATTATTATTTACAAATTAGAGCTGAAAATAGATCACATCGGTCTGAGAGATTATGTGGGAAAGGTGTGCAGAAAATTCACAGGAGACATAATGCTTTCATGGGTGTCTATTAAACAAGTTGTTTACTTTAAGGGCCGTTCAGGCAATGCTGCATTAGAGTGAGAAGCTAAGCCTAAGTTCTTTATGTCCTGATTCAAGTCAAGCCTTGGTTTTGGATTTAAATATCCTGAAGTTTTGCATATTCCTGTACATGTGCTCTTGTTTTGTTTTGTTTTTTACTAGTTATACCTTCTTGCTTGTGGATTTATGCTGTACTTGTGATTTCTGGCTGTTCCTGGACTTAATCATTTCTGGAACTTTATGAAACGTTTGGATTGTTGTTTTGTTATCACCTGTTGCAAAACCTTTTTGGATTATCTATCTTTCTTTCTGATTCCTGCTTTTTTATATGCTTTTTTATATGTTTTACAATGAACTGTTAGCTTATATTCCTGGATTATTGTGTGGTGCACTGGTAGGAGATGGCCCATAGGTAGCCTGGCGTGCAACACAAGACTAAAAATCTCATAATTCCTTAGTATTGAGCATGGCAGTTAATATGGCATCAAACTGCTATAATTCTGCATCCAGATCAGCCAAAAATTGATGAATCATCTTTTAACACTGGACTTTCCAGAATCATAAAACTCCTTTTGTACTGGTACGGCTGTACCAGGAGCTCCAACTTCATTTTCTTTCTATTAAATGTCTGCATGCATTCCAAGGTTTCAGGCATTCTACAAGAGTGACTTCCCTTGGTTTGCAATTATAGGGCCAATGACCCATCAATCATTGTTAAGTTTTGGTTCCGCCCCTTTCCCCAGGGCCCTGGGAGGAGAGGGAGCCATTTTTAGTTCAGTCTTACAGAAGGAAATTAAGCTACAGGACGTGGACCAGCTCCACCTGCAGAAAAGCTTCATTTCCTACAGCTTCGGGGAAAACAGCTTCCGGGGAGAAATAGTCCCAAAGCTCTGGCTGGGAACTTACAGCCTCTCAGCCTTACAGCATTCGGGGGAAAAAGTTTTGCAGACCCAAAGAACTCCAGCTGGAGAATCTACAAAGACTTGACTGGTAGGTCTACTCAGGACCCAAGAAGTAGTTTGGAACCGGTAGTAGGACCCACATCAGCAAAGCCTAGATAGTAGATTGCCTGGGAGAGGTTAAAAAAGGGTTTTCCTTTTAAAAGAAAAGAAATCGTTCTCCAAGCCAGTTGCCTGTCCATTGTGGACAAGACTAAGAAAGCCACCAGTCATTTGTATGACTGTCGTTGAAGATTGAAGAAGTATTTGTTTAATTTGTTCAATAATAAAGGACTTTGTTAAACCTTTCAATCCCCTAAAGACTCTTCCAGAGGAAAATCCTTAGGGCCTCTCTATCAAGGCACCCTGGCTTCCCGCTGGGCACAAAGTGCACGTCCTGTTCAAAAGACAATTATTACAGGCCCAGCGTGTGACAGCACACCTTTGCTTGGGATGGATGCCTGGTTTTACGACGAACTTCAGGGAGATTTGCAGTCATGATGCCATAGTCATAAATGTAAATACAAAATAGTTATGGGGTTGAAAACCTAGCTCATTGCATAAATGGATGACAGGCAATTTTTTTAAAAAATGTACTTAAAAGAACTACCACTATTGATTGAAAGGACTTATGCATTATACTGCTTAGAATACCTTCTTCCTCTGCAAATCCAACCCAAAACACTGTGGCACCAATAACAATTAACATTCCATATATAAAAAATATTGCACTGATTGTCCACACAATGGGACTGGCCCTCACACTGCCTGCCAATTACAGCGACTCCAAATAACAAAAACAATTAATAACAAAAAACAAAAACAGCCAATTATTTTAACACTATTCAACTCCTAATTGCTTCCCAACTGTATTGGAAAGTGGGTTGTTGTGAGTTTTCCAAGCTGTATGGCCATGTTCCAGAAATATTGGAAGATTTTAGGATCTATACAAACCTGCATGTTGCTATAAGTTATTATGATATTCTGAGCATCAAAGTATGCCAAGACTTTGTTAAGGAGCTCTGTTGTCCACATATGAGTGCTGTAAAAGAAAGAAGAAAAGGAGGGTAAGTATCTCCCGTGATTTATATTGCATGAATAACGTTTCTACAATCACACGATTGCTGGGCATTACTAGGTGCTTCACCTTTTATGTTTCTAAATCTTAGAGAAAGAAACAAATGCCACCAGGTGGTGTAAGTCGATAGTGCACACTGTATTTATAAAAACAGCATGGAACTGCTATTGGCGCTCTACGCAAATGCGTAACTTGCCTATTGCTTCAGCCGCCCTTGTTTGCATATTAAGCTTGCTGTAGCAACTGTAGCCAGGTATGGGCAAACTTGGACCCTCCAGGTGTTTTGGACTTCAACTCCCACAATTACTTACAGCCTTAGGCCCCTTCCTATTCCCCCTCAGCCGCTTAAGCCAATAATACGTTGTTGTTGTTGTTGTTGTTGTTGTTGTTGTTGTTGTTGTTGTTGTAACATTATTTTACCAAACCTGATCTTGATTTCCTACTGTCTCCTATAGCTCTATTGCTCTCTAACTCCCATGCAAATTAAAAGATCATAAATTACCTTTGGTAATGAAGCATATCAAGGAAAGCTAAGGAAGAAAGACACACAAAATATTAATGTACACAGTCATACAACAGGACGGCGAGTTATAAGTAGGAAATTTGAACATCTTTACCATTGAGATAATTTCCAGCTATAACTTCTTCCTAAAGAGGGAGAGAGAAGCAATGAATGCAATAATTCAAATATACAGAGAACATGAAACATTGCTAAAAAGATATAGTACTATAAAAAAATACTGACCACAATGTTTTGTAGTTGTGGTGACAGGTCTGAAAAGAAATGTTTAAGATGGTGAATTCAAATGGTAAACATACAGTTCAGTCCTAGATAAGGACATGCTTTATGACAGGCATGGGCAAACTTGGGCCCTCCAGGTGTTTTGGACTCCAACTCCCACCATTCCTAACAGCCTCGGGCCCTTTCCTTTTCCCCCTCAGCTGCTTAAGTACCATAATTCTATATGCAAAAATACACAAGTACAATCCCTTACTTCTTAATTGTCTTGGTTTTATTCTGCATTCAACATTCCCCCTGCCAAAAAAAATTCGATAATCAACATTATAGTTAATCTGGTACTTATTTTTCCCAAATAATATCCCATTTGTTTTGTATGTATAGATTTCTTAATGCAGACATTTTGATGGCACTGAAAAAAATTCTCCTTACCTTGACCAATGTCCTGCTGTTTTGCAGCCTCAGCCTGACTCATTAAAACCAGCAAGAAACACATCCTTAGGTGTGGTGGCATTGCTCCTATTGTTTGCTGTAGCTGAGAGAGAGTTAGATGATAAAAGAAAGGGAACAAGCAAGAACATCCACAAAACTCTCAAATTTAAATAAATAATACTTGCACACCTTGCTTGGTTTAATGATATCACATAGTTTTTCTTCTCTGATTGTTTGAATTATTCCTTTTGGTTACTTCTAAGTTTAATTCTGTTTTAATGGTTCTATTCTGTAGGTTTTGTATTTTTTTAACCACTGTTCACTGCTTTGAGTCTCCTTAAGAGGAAAAAAAACAGTATAGAATATATGTATTTTTTTTTGTACTTTACTGCTGTATTCCTATGTTGTATATTTGTTTTGCTGTATTGTTGGACTTGGCCTCATGTAAGCCGCCCTGAGTCCCCTTGGGGAGATGGTGGCAGGGTATAAATAAAGTATTATTATTATTATTATTATTATTATTATTATTATTATTATTATGAAAGAAGATGTGTTAATATAGAGAAAGGAAGGAAGGAAGGAAGGAAGGAGGAAGGAAGGAAGGAAGGAAGGAAGGAAGGAAGGAAGGAAGGAAGGAAGGAAGGAAGGAAGGAAAGAAGGAAGGAAGAGGGAGAAAGAGGTAGAATATTTGGGGTTTTTATTTAAACTTGTAGCACATTTAATGCCCTAGAAATATCCAATTCTTTTGGTTCCTGTAGTTAGAATATGTTACTGATGCTTCTTATTGATCCATTCTCTCAATTATCACATTTTGGACTTCATCCCCGTTTCTACACACTTTAAAACCAGAATTCTGCAGAGGCAATCAGATGACACAAAGCTATTTCTGGGTGGGTTGCCCATGGGACCCCATTTTTAAAGTGCATGGGAACGGGGAGAGTGTGGAGTCTGGTATCTATCAACTCCAGTCATCTCTATGCGCTTAAAAGTGGGGAAACACGAGAACTTTCAGGTGTGATGGCAACTGTTGGAGTTCTCCATGTAATACCGTTTTATGACATTTGCTTGTGGGCAGTAAGTGGACCATCCTCAAAATCCTGCCAGTTCAAGCCTGGCCCAAGGTGAGCAGAAGCTAAGGCTGATGGTGGGTGCTCACTCTGGACCAGGCTTGAACTGCCAACTTTTCGATTGGCAGGATTTTGAGGATGGCCCACTTACCGTCCACAACAAGCAACCATCATAAAACGGTATTACATGGAGAACTCCAATGTATTGGTATTACATGGAGCACTCACCGTCAGCCCTAGCTTCTGCTCACCTAGCAGATTGAAAACAGAAATTTGAGTAGATAAATAGGTACTGCTTTAAGTTGGGAGACAATAAGATGCATCCATAAGGACATTCAATTGGGAAGACGTCTATGGACAACAAAGCTCCTTGGCATGGAAGATGGAGTGATAGGCTCCAGACGCCGGAAATGGAAAAAAAGAGGGGGAAAGCCTTTACCTCTGTTAATGTATTGTCTGTCCTTGTTAATTGTATAATGTCATTGAATGTTCACCGTATGTGTTCTGTAATCTGCCCTGAGTCCTCGGGGAGATAGAGCAGACTATAAATAAAGTACCGTATATACTCGAGTATAAGCCGACCCGAATATAAGCCGAGGCACCTAATTTTACCACAAAAAACTGGGGAAATGGATTGACTCAAATATAAGCCAAGGGGGGAAAATGCAGCAGCTACTGGTAAATTTCAAAATAAAAATAGATACCAATAAAATTACATTAATTGAGGCATCAGTTGGTTAAATGTTTTTGAATATTTACATAAAACTGTACTTCAACATAAAACTGTCTAACTCTGATTCAACCATTATTCTAACCTTCTTCAATATAAATATGCTTACCTATCCTTCCAATAATAATAAATAGAGTAAAATAATAGTAATATAATAATAATAATAATAATAATAATAATAATAATAATAGAGTAAAATAATGAATGTAATAATAACAACAATAATAGAGTAAAATAATAAATGTAATAAAATAATAGAGTAAAATAATAAATGTAATAATAGAGTAAAATGATAAATGTAATAAATAAATGTAATAAAATAATAAATAACCTTGACTCGAGTATAAGCCGGGGGAGACATTTTCAGCCTAAAAAAGGACTGAAAAACTAGGCTTATACTCGAGTATATACAGTATGTTATTATTAACTAAGAGTGCTTCTACATTGTGGAATGAATGCAGTTTGACATCATTTTAATAGGTCAAGGCTTTGGAATCCTTACACTTGACATCACATTAACTGCCATGACGTAATAGTCTTACAAGGTCTATAGCCTTCTCTGTCCAGAGTTTCTCTCTATCCAGAGTTTCCTATAGTTTCTACTGCTTAGCTAAGTGTATGACAAATTACATAATATACCTATGGTGATATAGGATTATATTTAGCTCAAATAAATAATTAAGATGCCCAAAACAGTTTTGCTATTAAAAAAATAATAAACAGGCAAGCATTTGGTTTGAATGGTAAATTGGGAATAAAATAACACCAACAATAGTGTGATTGAAGATTCAAAGCATTTGATCTTGGGAACAAGCTTGACTTTATGAGGCCCATCTCTCCTCACTGCGTGAAAAGTGACCTGTACTCCTCATTCAGCTCCTTCACAGAGAGTTCTCCAGCCATTTATAAGGATCCAGTTTCTGAAACAATGAACTTGGTTGTTTTTGTGTCTGCCTTTGCCCTATTCAGTTTACAAGGTGGTTTGCGGTTACACAGCAGGGCTCAACAAATCCAGACCTCCACTGATTGTCATCCCAGATTTCAATGGCAGTTCTGTGCAGGTTTACTTAGAAGCAAATCTCCCTGAGTTCAATGGGGCTTACAGTCAAGAAAATAGGCACTGATTTGCCATCTCCATTCCCTACTGATGATTGTATTTAATACTTGCTTTCCTTTTTTTTTTAAAAAAAAGGAAAAAATGAAACTCTGCTCTGAAATTTCCAAGGGCATTTTACAAAATGAGTTTGATGATTATTTTGATCATCAATCTGGATATCACATCATTACAGCAATTTACAACCAAGGCTAGATCTACACTGCCATATAATGCAGTTTGGAACCACATTTTATGATCAGTGTAGACCCATATTGCATTAGATCAGGGGTTCTCAACCTTCCTCATGCTGCGACCCCTTAATACAATTCCGCATGTTGTGGTGACCCCCAACCATAAAATTATTTTCGTTGCTACTTCATAACTGTCATTTTGCTGCTGTTATGAATCGTAATGTAAATATCTGATATGCAGGATGTATTTTATTCACTGGACCAAATTTGGCACAAATACCCAATACACCCAAATTTGAATACTGTGGAGTTGGGGGGGGGGGTGATTTTGTCATTTGGGAGTTGTGGTTGCTGCAATCAAAGAGCATTCTGAACTCTACCAATGATGGAATTGGATCAAACTTTGCACACAGAACTCCCATGACCAACAGAAAATACTGGAAGGGTTTGGTGGGCACTGAGATTTGGAGTTGTAGTTCGCCTACATCCAGAGAGCACTGTGGACTCAAACAATGATGGATCTGGACCAAACTTGGCACGAATACTCAATATGCCCAAATGTGAACACTGATGGAGTTTGGGGAAAATAGTCCTTGACATTTTGGGAGTTGTAGTTGCTGGGATTTA